AACATAATTCTTTAACATAAATACTGCCAGAGTGACCGTGTATTCTCCTCACTTTTCCACTAAATATAATATAAAGGCAGGGCTGCAAACGGTTCGAATCATAGTTTGCTAAAATTTTCATTTGGGTTCGATTCGGGAACCCTTGAACCCATATTTTGGTTTGTCATGCCATCAAATCTTTTCAAATCAATTACATTTTTAATGAATTTAAAAAATTCGTTTGACATAGATCTATTGATTTTCATATGCTAATCGGATTTTGGAATATACGAAAACATCACATCATGTTCACTGAATGCCAATTGATTCAGACAAAACATATTGATGACTATTTAAATTTTTGTTTTTCTTATGTTGTAACGCATTTTGCACATTGCGACCAAATTTAATGGCTGCTGACACTGTTTGCTCTTGCAAGGCCGTCCTACAACTCATCTTCTGGGCCCAACTGACCGCCTTCAACAACAGCAATAACAATGGCCAGATCAGCTTTGTATTATGTGCTATTATTATCATGATGGTTATTATTATGGCTGCTGCTTTCGGCATTGCCTTAGCGTAGGCCCAGCGACTGTGGCTGCAACTGGAGCTGGAACTGGACTTGGGCAGTCAACTGTGGCAGCCACGCCCACCAAGCTGGTCAACAGTCAGTCTGACGGATTGCCGCTGGAACTGCGGCGGCGACTGCGACGTGACCTTAGCGCATAAGCAAACTTTGGCAATTACTGGGACAAAAGAAATAAATTAGCATGTCGCATTGTTGTATTATTTTCATGACGACGACTGCCAAAGTTGAAATCAAGTTTTTTGGGGCCATTAAATGCATGCGGTGAGGGTTCATTGCCGATGGCGCATTGTCAATGAGCTTTACGGGGTAACAATTCCTTATGCAGTGAATCAACTGACAAACAGGCTGTCAGTGCCCGACTAGGAGATACCCTTAACTTAGCGCCAAGCTGCAATTACAAACATTCTAACTTCATGTTATACGCAACCAAACAACCGGCTGTGCTACTTTTATTAGCCCCAAGCTTTGTATGGGAAATACATTTTTGATGAACTTCGGATAGTCCGATCTTCATGAAAAAATGAAAATCCCCAAAATAGAAGCCTTAATGTGACTGTATCAGATCTTCGAATTAGGTTCAAAAATACATGTCGTAACATCATTATTAATATATTTAATTTAAATGGGAAAAGATATAGAATCTCTTAATAAATTCAAAAATTTGAGTCTTAAGTCCCGATCCAAGTATACACGCTTTATGGACTCCTGCCTTCTGGCTGTTACATACCGTTGCACAGAACCCTCATGCCCCTTTCGCACATTTTGGGTTCAGGGCATAATTCAATTGGGGTTTCGGTTCGAGAATTTTGCCTTCACCTGTGTGTAGCAGAGTGTTTCTTTCAGATATACATTATATTCGAAAGTAAGTGAAATCGGTAAAAGAACATGACTTATGATTGTGCATAGACGTTTGAATTGTGCATAGTTTTTCTCAAATGTGTAGAAACTTGGCCAAGTATAATCGTCGCAGTGCTTTCAATAGTTTTGCATTAGTTAAATGGCATCTTTCACAAGACTTCCCGTCAGATAATGCAGATAACAATAGCCAATAATCTGTTCGATTGGCAATTAGTTTGCCAATTAAGCATGCTCAAATGGCCAAAAACTTATTAACCGCTTGGTTATGAGCAATTTGCATAATTTTCCATGCCAATAAAATGCAAAATGCAATTTGCTATTAAGTGTGAAATTTGTGCTGTTTGGTCTGCTAATTAAAATCAAATGCAGTTTAATTGCAATGCGAGTGAAAAGTAGGCGGCGTTGGCGCAAATACAAAACTGAAGACCACAACAGAAAGTTTTGTGCCCCTGGCTGGCCGCATTGCGCATACGCAACGTTGAACGCTGTGCAACAGACTGCAGCTCATTAATTGAGGAGGGCTGCTCCCAGCATATTGTGCATAAAATACGCATAAGAAATGCACCAGGTATTCGGAAAATGTTGTGTAAATTAGCCAAAGCAAATTGTTGTTTGAATTTACCTGGCCATTGACTCATGCTGTAAAGCTGAGCTCATGCTCTTGAGTCATTGCCGGCTTGCGTTTTAGCAATTTAAAGTTTTCAATGTTTATTAATAGGCCGCTTAGGTAATTGCCAGCATTTGACATTCGAAACTTGTTTGCTAGCCGGCTAGCTAGGCTAGAAGAGCTGCAAGAGCTCTAAGAGCCCGCCCCTTCTCTCCATTGCGATGATTTTATGCACGATTCTTGTGCCGCTTGCTACAAAGTGACTGGCGTGCAATTTAGCTTATTATTCACTGTAATTATCGAATGCAGTTGCCGCTGTCGCTTTCAACACCCAACCAAGTCAGCAAGTTCTTCGTCATTCAGATGATGATCTTATAACGTGACGTTTCATTTTGAAAGCGTGTCAAATAATTAACAATCGATTGCGACTCGCTTATCGTTACTTTTGGCAAGTACCTGGCAACAACTATCGGTTATCATTGTACTAAATATCGATTGCTGCAACTCCTCCCATTCCAACTACCACGCCCACCTCTAATTCGTGATGTTGTTTACTCAAGCATTTCTTTTGATTGTTGCGTTTTACCACAACTTTTAAACAGCATTTGCATAAATACTTGTGGCCCGCCCCCCCCCCCCACACTTGTTGCATGGGCGATGACTCAGCCGCAGGGTTGCATTTGTGTCAATTGCATTTAAACATTTCCTGCCAACAGGCGCTGTAAATTGTGCTGCACAAATATTTATAATTTTTCGCAAAACCAAATAAGCACTTCGCACCACAGAAAAGTGGGTCATGTTACGTCGCATTTGAATACACACACGAACCTGTCTGTGTGTGTGTGTGTGTGGCGTCAAGACAAATTACAACTCCCCGTTAGTTGATCATGCAATGCAATTAGCTACGACTATGTACAAGAAATTCCAAAATACGTAATAAAATTAACTCGAAAACAAAACTGGCCAACAACTTGAACAGATTTGCGGCTCATCTTTTATTGCGTATTTTATTTGATTTTTCTTTTAAACAATTTGAACTAACTCTTGCTTTGAATACGTCGTATGTGAACTCATTTCTGTGGCTGAGCTGATGCCAACTTCCGTCGTTGGCTGCCGCACAGTGGGACCGTTAGCCGAAAAGCGTGCTGAAAATCGAAACATGATCAATTTTATTTGAATAAATTTCAACTAATTTCAAAACAGTTATCGAAAATTGAACTTAAAGCACCCTGTGTAAATGTTCCATTTAAGGCTCAAGGAGTACTCTCTCAAACGCTTTTATGTTCTCACAGTGTTTTGTTAAGAGTTTTGCCCCACTGTGCATCGTCACACAAAGCCCCATCATCAACACATTTCATTGAGCGTGAAATAGAAACAGAGAAAGTATGCACAATAATTTTTATTTTTTTTCTCTCTCTCTCTCTCTCTTTCTCGCTTTGTTTTGTTTTATTTTATTTAGCTGGCAACTGTCGGTGCAGTGGTTCGGCCGCTTGCTTGGCAGTTTTTATTTTGTTATTAAAGTTTTCCATTGTCTGACTGCAGTTTTCTTTCTGCTGCAATTGCAATTGTTTAGGCGCGAGCCGAGCGTCGCCCTCTTTGCCAACCCACAACAACAATTGCAGCAATTTTTGTGGTTATTTCTTCTGTGTCGTTGTTGTTGTTGTTGTTTTTGGCGGCAACGCGTCGCATTTTATGCAAATTACCGGTAATTTTATTAAAGCTTTTCATTTACTGTTTTGTCGCTCCATTTTATTAGCGACGCAGATTATTTTTGGTTTTCTGCTGATAGTCAAACCACGTTGACTTCTCATATTTATTGCAGTCTCTCGATTTTCTTAGCGCTACGTGCTCGCAGTGCATTTTCCGCATAAAGTTGGGCGATAAGGCTTTAACATCATTTCTCTTCATAATGAGATCGCAAATAATTATATATGCACACAATATACATATATGTTTATGTGTTCTTTAACGCCTATTTTCTATGCCAATTGAAGGTTGAAATATTGATTAAACTTTTGCATGCAATTTTCAATGTCGCCGCAAGCCTTGATCCAAAAACGCTGAACCCTGCCCCCCCCCTGCCTCCGCTCGTATCAATTACTTAGCGTACGGCAATTATGTAAATTATTATGTATATGAATAATTGAATTTGAAATTGAAAATCGAAAGGTTTTTAGCTCAGACAGAAGCGACCTCTCGCCTATCGATAATTGCATTGCATTATTAGAGATGGGAAACTAACATTTGTTATCGCCCGAGCTCGCCTATCGCCTATCGGAGCTCCGCTTAAAGCAAATCGCCTTTTAAAGTGGATGCTTTGAGCTAATGACCAAATTGCTCAACCGTTTGAATTTGATGCGCCGCAAAGAAGTGAAAATTCAATTGCATTTTAATTTGAATGATGTGAATTTCGCGGTTGCCTTGTCTCTGACAATGGTGTCAAGAGCCAAGGCGCTATTGTTAGGCGCGAGCTGAAGATTTTCCTGTGCACAGTGGTTCAAAAAGAGCTTGCACTTTTGATAAAATATAATTGGTCTGTTTTCGCAAACATCTTTGCTTAGTTGTCATTTGCCAAACGATTCAATTTATAAATATTTTACGCACTAGATTTATTCCCAAATTATAGTTAACTTCTGTTTCAGGATGCCGTACGGAAAGGTTTGTAGCTTTTTGTTTGCTGCAAAAAAAGAAAAAAAAAAATGAAGAGTTGAAAATGCAAATGTTAGCTGTACAATTACCTGTCGGGCTGTGTTAACCTTGCGGTTGCCTTTGTTGGTTGGTTTTTTTTTTTTTTTTTCTGTGTACGTGCACATTGTTTGCTTTACTTACTTTCATTGTCTTGCTGCTTAGTTGTTGCAATTGCTGACGAGTCATAGAACAAATAATAATAAGTTGTTGTTTTATTTTGTTTTGTTTTTATCTTTGCCCATGTGCATTTAATTAACTTTCCATTTGGCTTGCTTACAGAAACTTGAACAGGAGAAGCATGTGCTGCGCCAGAAACTGGCCATAGCGGAGGACGAGAGTGATCAGCGTGTGCTGGAGCTGCAATCAGATCTCAACGAGCTAAAGGACAAGCTGCAGACACAGGATGTGGCCATCAGGCAGGCGGAAAAGGAGAAGACCATACTCATCGACGAGCTGCAGCATCAGAATACACGCCTTACCGAACAGATACAGGATGCGCATGCCACCGAAATGAAGCTCAGTGCCCAGATACAGGAGCTCAAGGACCAATATCACTACAGGAATAGCAGTCTACAGGTAATACACATTAGCCGCACACGATAAAACTGTTTAATCAAATCGACTGAACGCATTTCCTGGCAGGAGCACGTCAACAGCCTGGAGTCCATTAAAACCGAACTAAACCTCACCACGGGCAAGCGCCAGGAACTGGAGCGTCGTCTGCAGCACGCTCAGGAGGAAAAGGAGAGCCTCACCTCATCGCTGGAGGAAGCATCGGACAGAATTCATATGCTGGAGCGACATGCCCGCGAGCAGGAAACAAAATTAGAGGTGGGCTCACGTCCAGTTCATTTTAATTTTAATTTTAAATTTAACGAAAGCGAAATCGTGATTTACAAATTGTCAGATTATTTATGAGCGCTCCAAAGAACAAACTGCGCAGTTTCTCAAGTGCTCAACTTATCTTTCAATGACTTTCTTTTGTTGCACACTCTTTTTTCTTTCCTTTTGCGCCAGAGATAAGCAACAAGTTGTCATCTATAAATAATAATTGCTTTATCTGGGCCAAGTCTTAACTATTTGTTCCATCTTTACAGACCACCTTACAGGCATTGGAACGCTCTCAGCGTGAGAATAATGTACTCAGCGAACGTTTGGGCGCGGTAAGTTTCTCTCTGCTCTTAAGCTTAACATACATTTTACATTTACAGCTTAACCCCAATATATATATATATGTATAGTTATATGTATGATGGATCAGTATACATAGACGTTTCGATAGGGCCATGTCTGTCTGTCATCATATCTTATAGCTGATATAGAAATGATCAGTGGTAAATTGAATTCTTCTATGAAAAACGTTTCTCTCTCTCAAGATATGGTAACCAAATTGGGGATTTATTAACCCTTAATATATATCAATATCAGACGACTTTATTATATAGATCTAAGAGAAGAATCTATCGATATAATGAGTTTATATGTGGGAATAGCAACAAAGCCATATGTATTCAATTTTCGGGCCTCTTTTCCCATTCGATCTAGTCGCCATTTCTACTGTTAATATAGTTACATTAAAATAACCCCAAGCTGAATTCGATTTAATGCAGGACGCCAACTCGAGTACGCCCGGCAAGAAGAGTCTGCAGTTCGAAATGGAATGCGATGAGGACGAGGCCAGCTTCACGGAATCGGGCAAGCCCAGTCAAATGTGGGTGGAGGCGCGTTCCGTTTATATACAGCTGAAGTCCCTGGTGGACTCGCTTAAAGTGAGCCATGATGATGACTCAGGTTAGTTGAGTGGATGGCACAACATTGAATCTTTTAAATAAGACACAAGCTCTACTTTAAATCGAAACAGGTCTCAATTCTGACATATCTCTGGATCTGGAGTCCATGGACAACACGATGTCCAGCACGGAGCGCAATGATAGCGACCATATCGCTATCGAATTCAGGCAGGGTATGCTGTCGGCCATGTCCGACGAGCTAACACGATTGCTGCTCAATTTGGATGCGGGCAACTTTAAGAAAATGCTGGACCAAACCCGTAATCTTGTGCTGGAGCAGGAGGATGAGATCAAGCGCAGCCATCAGCTGATACAGCAACTGGAGGCCAAGGTCACGGTGACCGATGTGGAACTGCAAAATGTAAAGGAAGAGCGAGATCAGGCACGCGGCGATCTGGTTGACAACACCGATCGCGACGAGCTGCTAGCCAAGGCGCAGAAGGAGCGTGATGCGGCCAACGAGCGTCGCACCAAGGCCGAGGTGGAGCTGGCCAAGACACGCGTCGAGCTGATGCAGGCCAACAGCCAGCTGCTCGAGTCCATTCAGCAGAAGGTAGAGCTGTCCCAGCAGCTGGAGCAATGGCAAATGGACATGCAGGAGCTTATCGATGAGCAAATGCGCTCCAAGCTGATTAACAATCGTCGCAGCGCTGCCGCCGAGACGACAACAGCGGTGCCCAGCAGCGCAGCGGCCAATCTCGCCAAGCGTGTGTCCAGCTACAAGCTCTGGAGTTTATTTCAGCGTTAACTGGACAAATTTGACGACGCGCTGGAAGATCTACGCAACTCTTATATTCTTAATGTAGCCGGGCAGAGCCGCACTTTAAAATGAGCTATATATTTTTAATATTTATACACAAAAGAGAGCCTAGGCATATATACATATATACATTTATATATATATATATATATATATATATATATATGTATATATATATTTATGTATGTATTCGTTGTAATTTGTATGTATTTTGAAACGATGCGACCTTCTTTGGTTTTGTAGTGAAATCTTTTTAATTACGCTTTATTAATCTTAAAGACATGTATTAATTCTAATTGTACTCTCGTACCTATGTTTAAACAATATTTCTGTACACAAATTTTCTAAATGATTGCTATAGCTTCCCCTCCCCCCACTCCCCCACTCCCGCTCTCTCTTTCTGTTTAGTTAATCTTGTAATTCGCTTAAGATCTAATGCAAAATCAAAAAAAAAAAAAAGAAACATATCGCCCATATGGTTGAGCGTCTGGCGAGTGGCTTGAAGCCTTTTCCGGCTCAAAAACTTGTGTTTGCGATAACTGAAATCAAAATGTTATAAACTTATCTCTATTATTGTACCTAAGATAATTTACCTTTAAGCAAAGCATTTATGTTAAAACAAAATATATATATATATATATATACGATATGTACAAGGCAGACAAAACGGAATTGTATGCGAACTTCGCGTTGGACAACTTGCCTTAAATACGGACAATGATACGGAAAGTTTAACATTTTAGATTGTTTAACTAAATAACTTACCAATAAATCTATACAACGCAGCATAAAACAAAACTCGCAGCCCTTTAGCATTTATCAATGTGTGTATATATATAGATATTTTTTCTCATTTTTAGTCAGCTGGTATTTGTGAAATACGTCATCAATTTGAAAATAGGCTTAAAGCTAATTTAATGAAAATCAAAAGATTCTCTTTAAATATCAGATTTCCGCACTTGGTTAACTTAAATGCGCGCCTCATTGATACGACTATTGTGTCGCCACCTAGCGGCAGGGAGACTATCGGCTTTGTCAAAATATAAGAGTATCATTAATTGGGCGCCAGTATAAGTAAAATATCGAAACATTTGAAATAACATACGATTAATATAAAAATAAAAGTATTTATCTATTCAGTTACACCAAATTGTTCGTCCTGTTTGATTGATTGACCGACTGAATGATTGGTGACCAACGCACAGATCAAACTTTTATTCATCCAATCAGCCAATACCTCAGCAAAACTTCATTTTCTTCATAATATAGAGAAATACGTATACCTAAAGAATACCAAGTTTACTTCAACGTTTACAATTTAATGATTAATATACATTTGTTAAGTCTGATTGCCTTAACAGTGGAATGATTGGCAATCCACGCTATATGGGAAGTTGGATTTATTATAAAGTTTCCATCTGAATGTGCGTCAAATATAGGTGCAAGATCGGCTTCACATCTAAGGAAATAATTTGCACTTTGACCAATTTAAATTTTTAAAGAGATTTAACTAAAGTTTACAACTCGCAATTTTGATACAAAAAGTTAAAAAAAAGTTGTCTGGGCAACGGGCATGCGTCCAGCTAAAATCTTGACGCAAATCGCGTCTGTGAACTCGGAGCATTTCGCTTGTCCGCCCAAATCGCCCGTTAGGTGCTGGCCCTCCTTGATGGTATCGAGGGCGGCGCGCTCAATAATATTGGCGTGCGAGAGGAGGTTTAAGTGGCGCAACATCATGACCGCTGAGAGCAGCAACGCCGTGGGATTGGCCAGATCCTTGCCAGCAATATCGGGCGCGGTGCCGTGCACTGACTCGAACAAGGCACCATTTTGACCCATATTGGCCGACGGCGTCAGACCTAGACCACCGACCAGACCGGCGCACAAATCAGACAAAATATCACCGTACAAATTGGGCATGACCAGCACATCGAACTTTTCCGGACTGTTCGCCATGCTGAGGCACACCGTGTCCAGGTAGCGCTCATCAAACTGAATCTTTGGGTAGTCCTGTGCAACGTCACGCACGCAACGAAGGAACAGACCGTCCGACATTCGCATAATGTTCGCCTTATGGACCACGGTCACCTTCTTGCGATTGTTGTTCTGGGCATATTTGAAAGCGTACTTTGCAATGCGCGTGGAGGCCTTCGCGGTGATCAGCTTAATGCTTTGAACAACGCCATCCACGACCTCGTGCTCGATGCCAGAGTATTCGCCCTCAGTGTTCTCGCGAATGGTGACCACATCGACATTGTCGTAGAGTGTCTTATATCCAGCCAGGCTGCGGCAGGGGCGTACATTGGCATACAAATTGAATTCCTTGCGTAGAGCCAGGTTCAACGATTGATGTCCCTTTCCCACTGGCGTCATTAGTGGACCCTTTAGGCCAATTTTGTTGGTGTTGACCGAATCGATGGCAGCCTGGGGTATACCGAACTTTCCATCGGGTCTTCGCACAGGCGTCACGTCGACAACATCCCATTCGATGGGCACCTCGGCAGCTGTGAAGATCTTTTGGACGGCTGCAGAAATTTCAGGGCCAATTCCATCGCCGGGTATAAGAGTTACCTTTTTGTCGCCACATGAGTAGGGGCGTCTAATAGAGGGCCATGTAATGAGCGTGTTCTGCATAAATCTACCAATCATTTCGTAGTTTTGAATTGAAAATCGTTGACTACTCGCACCACCTATCGGAAAAGTAGCTAATCATTTGTGGCGCATTTGTTAAGGCAAATATATCGTATAAGATGTGATATGTCAAAAATGTTAAGTGTATCGATATATCATAAAATCTTATACTTGTTTATGCCGTTCACTTTAACAGTTGAATGTCACATTCTAGTTGTATCAGCATTTTTTTTTTTGCTGAAAATTGTCAATCGAAAGATCAAGTAGTTATTGGCCCTATAGAATGATGCAAATCTCTGATTACTGAATACATCGATAGTCAAATGTTTGCAATGGAAACAGCAACATGTATGAGTGAGTTTGACGTGTCGTATTTAGGACATAAACGATATTTTTGTTATCGATATATCGATACACATCTATATATTTTTAGTCATCCCTAAGTTTTTCGAAGAACAAAAAGAACGGCAGGACAAGGCAGCAGTTTCAATTTCATTCCTAATTTATAGTAAAAGTAGTAAGCAACCAGAAGAACACACGGCAAACAATGCCTTCGGCTGCTACCACATTCACCAACACCAACAACAATACCAAGGAGAAACGCGCCTCGGTCAGCTCCATCGGTGCGAGCAGCAGCGTCGGCGGCGGCGGCGTGGGTGGTGGCGGCTGCAACAATGGCAACGCAAGCAACGGACAGCATAGCAGTAATACCAATCTCGCTGACTGTGCCAAGCCTGTTGTGGCAGCGGGAGCAGCACCCGGCAGCGGAAGTAGCCAAACTGATTTAACCAACAACAATAATGTCAAAGTGCTGAAACTGTCGGCTGCCGCTGCGGCCGCAGCCGCCGAGCCGTACAATCCAATGAAGCAAATCCTGGTCACCATTGAGCATAAGATTCGCAATTTGGAAAAGCGTAAGGTAAGTGCATTATTGGTAAAAAAAAAAAATATCATTTAGACATTGGGATTTGCACTGCAGGCATTGCCCACCATTTTTTATTTTCGTTCGTCGCCCGCTTTGTTTCATTTCGTTTTTTTTTTTTTTATCGGTCGTGCTGTGTTTTCCCCCTTGTGCTCGCAGATTTTTCGCGACGCCATGTTTGCTATCTCACAGTGTTGCCAGACTAATTTTAATTGTGTTGCCCGCTTGTGCATGTGAACCGATTATTTTTAAATAAATTGTGCACAAATTAAATATGCAAATTTAGTTTAAATTTAGATTGCCTCCTAAAAGTGTATTTGTGCGCGGATAATGTGCTAAAATGAGACATTTGTGAGGGCGAGTGCTCGATCTGGCAACCCTACTACCATGTGCCTCGGATTTTTTTTTTTTTTTGTAACAATTGTTTTCTTATTGGTTCCATTTTGCATTTGGTTGTTTGTTTTTGACATTTCACTATGGAAATATGCGAATATGACGCGAAACCAATGCTATTTTGTTCAAACCGTGACTCACGTTACACTTTTTGTCATGCACATAGACTAAATTGGAATCGTATCGCGCCATCCAAGCTGGCGGTAAGGAGCTGAGCGCCGACCAAGCAGCGGCCGTGGCTAAATACGATTCGGTTCTGGCAACTCTTGAATTCGCTCGAGACTTTTCCAAGCAAACGCAGTTGATGTTTAAGGAGGCCGAGAAGGAGCAGAAGAAGCAGGCACGCAAGGTAAGAAATTAGAATAAAAAAACCGACATCCTCTATAGTCAATTACCTTTTACTATTCAATATGCAGGACAACCAAGCTAAAACTCTGGCGGAGAATGCAAAGATTCGTGATCTCCTGGTCATCCAAAACGTTCTCACCTGCTTTAACGATGAGCAGGTGCGTAATGATTTCTTGGCCGGAGACAATGGCGCCTGCAAGCTGGAGATTAGCGATGTGGATGCGCTCGACAAGTTGTAAGTGTCGCAAGAAAAACAAACAAAAATGCCGAGAGTTAGATATCGTATCATTTTTGAATACTCATAAATTATAATAAGGTCTTTATGACAATAGCTGACCGTATTACAAATTCGACCTGAATCCCGTAAGACATAGGAGACATTACAACCCATAAATGTATATGTTTTTGAGGACAAATAACAATATCCAAGTCGATAGAGTCATGTCCAATTTCAGCTATACTTATAAATATTTGCACCGGAGAGTCTTGTATATGACCACGGCATCATATAACTGAAATAGGGACCAGGACTAGACGCTCAATTTGCAGAAGAAACATATATTTATTCAATTATGTTGAAAAACAACTAATTGCTAGGCTCATTTCACTTCCCCTCACATAGGAAAAAATTAGGTTATTGGACAAAAACACAGTTTTGTCCTAAATGCTGAGCTGCGCACGGCCATTATATTGTATTCTCAGTTAACAGACACTATGACAATATTTAAAAGTTGTGAGCTTTTTATTTTGTGAAACGTTGAAACTGAGGATCTTTACAAATCGATGGTACATTTAAATATATGTTCTGAATATAGCTGCATGGAGGTGCAAACGCGCCGCCCGGAGACTGCGGAGGACATCAGCTTTTTGGCGACCGCTCAAAAGGCAGCCGAGCTCTTTGCCATGACCATCAATGCTCGGCCCAAGCCGTTCGGTGAGATGACATTCGAGAAACTGCGTGCGCTCTTTCAACAGATTCAGGATAGCGGCTATTTGGACAAGTACTATTTGATTCCTATGACGGATTTGACTGTACAGGGCAACTACGTGGGTAGCGGCGCTGTTAGTGGTGAAGGCGAAACGCTGCTTAACGATGTGGGTGCCATTGCAGCTGACCAGGAGGCGCTTATATCGGAGCCATCGGCACATAACTCATTGGAAGAGGGCCTAGACAAGCTGGCCACTGCCGAGGCGTTCACTGCGCTGCCTGAACAGCATCAGCCGGAACGTGCTCATCTAATGCTTGAGCCGCAGCATCAGCGTGCGCCCGTTGTCGATCAGCAGCAGATGCTGGTGCAGCAGCAACAACAGCAGGCGGGCGTTTATAATGCTGCTCCAGCGACTGCAGCAGCAGGCAACACAACGCCTGTCCACGTGATGTATGCATCAGCGCCGCCACAGGCAACGCATGTGCCGCCTCCGGTTCAGCATCCACATCAACTGCTAAGTAGCCCCGTGAATCTCCAGGCCTTGCACGGTGTGCCACAGTCGCAGCCGCCCCAGGCGGGCGTTGCCGCTGCGTCATCGGTACCTCCACAACAACAACAGCAGCAGCAGCAACAACAACAACCACAACAACAGCAGCAGCAGCAGCAACAGCCCCCGCCGCAGCAGCACTTTGGTCCCACCACAGTGCGCGCTGTGGAGCATAATTACTTCAAGCAGCCGCCCCTGCAGCCACCGCAGCCAGCTGCAGCTCTACAGGCACCCACACCCCAGCAGCAACAGCAGTTTATGCAGCAGCTGCGCCCGCTGGCCGAGGTGCTGGGCACCGGCAGCTTCCATTTTCTGCAGGACAGCGAATTGGATGCTCCGGACGTTTTACCGCAACAGCAGCAGCAGGCACCACCGCCGCAACAGCTACCGGTGCAGGGCCTAGTCTTTGAGCAGCAGCAGCAGCAGCAGCAGCAAAATCATGTGGATGAACCGCAGACTATTACAACGCTGACATTTACCAATCAGTCCTTCCCGTCCTTGCAGCAGCCACAGCAGCCGCCGCCGCAGCCACCACCACCACAGCAGCAGCAGCAGCAACAACAACAACAACAACTTTTCTCGCCTGTGCTGATACACGAACAGCAACGCCAGCAGCAGCAGCCGATGCTAATTATGGCACGATTGCCGCCGCAGCAGCAGCAGCAACAACAACAACAACAGCAGCAGCCGCCGCCACAGCATCAGCAGCAGCAGCAGCCACCACCCCCCCAGAGTATTGGCATGCAGCCGGGCGATGTGACTGCCGTTTTTCCCTATGACACAGCTGTGGTCAGCTATGAGCAGCAATTGCAACAGCAGCTGGGACTGAAGCCACAGCAGCAAAAGCAACAGCTGGAGGAGCCTCAGCCGCAGCAGCATACACTGCAGCAACCACAACCGCAGCAGCCGCCTGTCAGTGATGTGGACGTCAATGAATGGCATGGACGCGGTGGTGTAAATGATACTAATGCAGCTGCCACAGCTGCGTTGACCAATGTTCTCAAGACGCAATCTTCGGCTCTAGCAGAGCAGACAACGCCTACGTCGACAACCAACAAATGGAGCAGCGAAATGAATGCCATGAGCAGCGCTGCCTCAAATGGCAGCAATAGCAGCAACAGCAACAAGCAGGAGTGGGCCACGCCCCGCGACAACAGCAGCGGCCGTGGTGGCTATGTTAATGAGAACGACAGCGGCAACAATCACTGGAACTCCTCGCAGCAGGACAACGGCAACCCGATGCGTCGCAATTCTGGTAACTATCAGCAGCGGCGCAATGGCGGCGGAGGTGGCGACGATCGTGGACGCAATGGCGGCGGCAACTATCGCACACGACAATATGGCAATTCGTCAGCCCAACAGAATGGACGCAACAGTGGCGTCTATTTCCGTAACAATGAGTCGAGTGGAGGCGGCGGCGGCGGCAGTGGTGGTGGTGGCGGCGGCAACAACTACTACCAAAATGGTGGCGGCGGTGGGGTCTACAATAAGGAGTCGCGCTATGACTCCTCAGGCGGCGGCGGTTCCTATCGAGGACAGCGTGGAGGCAATCAGCGCAACGGTAATGGATCCTTTGGACGGCCGATGGGCGATCGCGGGCGCAACACCGGCGGTGGTGGGCCGGGCAACGCTAGCGGTGGCTACATAAATCAGCGTCAATCACAGCAGCAACGCATGCCGCTCGGTTTGGAAAATAAAAACTAGACAGTGAAAAGCGTCTTAAAGCGACGGTGCAGCTGTTTGGCGGTGGCACATGTATTAAATGAAAAGCTCCTCACCCACACTCACACACACCACACAACACACCACACCACACCACACATAACGCTTACGTATCATCGGTATGCACACATACACTCTTACGCATACAAGCAGCGTTGCCACGTTGACGTTCAATTTACCGTTAGTCAGCAACGTAAACTGATCCCAAAAAATAGAAACAAAGAGAAAATAAAAAACTGTCTGCGCGTTTTTTTTTTTTTATAAATAATATCAAATGTTTCTATATAATTATGATTTATTTAATTATTAATTAATAAAAACAAAACAACAACCTAGTTTTTAGGACACTTATAAAAGCAACCACTCAACCTAAACAAAACAAGCATACAGGAAAGTTCAAAAACACACACACATGCATCGGGTTTCTAAAACCCAACAGCAAGAATAAGAAACAAAATTAAAATATTAACAAATGCAGAGAATAAGTGTAAGTGCATGGGCACTGGACAAACAGCTGCTAATTGAATGCGAACAGAAGAATTAGGAGAAAGGAGCTTCGAAAAGTACGTAATACTTTTCAAGTTAATAAATTGATGGAAACAGAAAATAATAGTATTTATACGTCTTAGTAATTAAATAACAATTTTGAAACATACAAATTATATTTAATGAATTAATATAATACATTGCGAATGGATGATGAACATATGAAGAGAAAACGCAACTTATGTAATTTACTATAAACAAATATATTTATAGTTTGTGCTCTTACTACCATTTTTTGTTTACAAATGTATTTTGTTTTTTCTACAAATCAAGAAGCGCGCATATTTAATTAACATATACATATATTGTATGTAGTGCTGTATATTAAACAAAACAACAAATGCAGAAACATTATGCCCCACTTATGTGCATTAAAAATGAAAAACAAAAATGATGTATTTATATATGCAAATTAGTGACATTAAACGATACTTATTTAAGTAACAAACGTTATTCATTAACGGAAAAATGCAATTTTCAATAGAAGTTCAATTACATTCTTCAGACCCGTTAGTGCAGCTTCGTAGGTACTTTATTTAGATTTCTTTATGTTTAGCTACAGTTCTTTGTCCGACCGACGCTCTTCTCGAGTCCGTTGTATCGCATAGGAACCACAAACCGGCTAATATAAGAGTTATGCCCACGCCGGACAGCGCAGTCAGCGGTTCCCGGTAAACGATCGTACCTAGAATAAACTTAAAGAGGCGCAACTTATAAAAGTGCATCAAATAATGAATTAATTCATTAGACAATCAGACGTACTGATAACACGTAGTTGGAGGCGGCTGCTAAGACAGTTGCCGTTAATGTCTGTTGGGTCATTTGCAAGGCCTTCAGAAAGTAGCGTAAATTGCACACATTACAGCAGAGCATTAAACCAAGCGGCAGCAGCTGGACCAACGCAAATTCTAAGCAAGTTTCCAGTTAACATTTATCTATAAAATGTCTTTGAAATACTTACCCACATACGCAAAGCCGGCGACTGACTTCATTGCATTTGGCTGCAGCAGGTTCAGTGCATCGAGAAAACTGGGCAACTTGCCAAAGAAGCTGCCGCCGGCAGCGCATGCGCCAGCCACAAAGCTATACCGGTACTTTCTGAGAGCATTCATTCTAGCTTATTTTACTGTTTATCAGCTGTAGCGTTGCCAGCTGCATCAATCAGCTGCTTGCTAAATATCAATATCGATTGTACTAATGCATCTCATACGTAACATATCGATTGCACTCTGCAGCTGTCATTCGAATATGTGTTGGAATGAAAGCTTATTTTTTAGAGAATGTACTATTTTCAATCAATTTGTGGTATGCTTTTTTCCACTGTCGAGTCGTTTGTTTGGATTATGGTTGTTGTTGGTTCTAATGGAAAATGTTTTGAAGTTGCCATTGAATTGTGGGCATCGGCAGAAGTAGCTGCAGACAGCTGAATGTTGTGTTTGCAATTTTTGTTTGCAGCCTCGTTTTCGCCCAGGAAGTATTTGTCCAAAGAGCTTTTGATCCAAACACCGACTCATTCTATTTATTACTCAATGAACAGAACCCAAATTTCGACCGATTGTTCTATCTTTAAAACTGAGAAAGAAGTAGGTATTGAAACAGACAGACGATCAGACGGACATCAACTCATCTGTTGTAACACATTTTATGCTAAAGTTATAAAACCCTCTACAAGGGTATAAATTCTAGGGCACCAAAATCTAGCTTTTAAGTGAGCTTCATTGAACTGTTTCAAGATTCTTAATGCAAGGCCGGGCAATACCGACCACTATATATCTATATACATATATATTTATTTGTGTAAAAGATATATCTCGTATGCTGTTCTGTTACATAAAATGTTATGTTAGTGAAATACGACTTTATTATAAGGTAATATAGTACATGTCCGTCTGTTCGTCCGTCCGTATGTATGAACGCAAGGATACCAGAACCTATAAGATCTAGAGACTTGAAATTTGAGCTGTAGGCCCTCTTAGTGCCATGTGCGTCAAGTTAGCGGCGGTGAGTTAGCGAACTAGCGTCGAATTTCGGTACTTGTTATCGGAAAAGTATCGGACACTATAAATGCATTTATATATGTTTTTAAGCACGAAAACAAATAAATTTAAATGCAGAATTGCAAAAAATTAAATTATTTACTATCTACATTCATTTAGTTTTGAATTTTAATTTATAATATGGGTAAACCAAGGGGTTAAAATATTGGGTTTCCACCATTCCATAAATATCAAAATTTAGGGATGATGGCCCCGAAAACCGCATATACACGATTAAAGCCTACAGTTTCACCTAGCCAACTGTGAAAATTTAATTAAAATCGTCGGTACCATTTTTAAGATAATTGGAAAAGAGTGCAACAACCCCCAAGTCAGCCCCATATAAAATGAACGCAAAAAATCAACCTTGTCTCGAGCCCCTATTTCTTAACTCAGAGACAATGGTCCTCAATGCACGCTATACCTTCTTGTACATACATATTTTAAGTAGCTTTAGGCACCAATTTCAAGTAAATGGACGGTACAGATTTTGAGAAAATTAATTAATTGTAAACCAACCTCATATAGTTCATTCAAAAAGTCTATCGAACTGCTAGTTCCTACGTGAACTGAATCACTGCCTGGCATCAGTGTTGAACAATTTTGTACGGAATTGGGCGGGAACCAATTCAATTTAAATTATATTTAATCATGAAAAAACGGAAAGAAGTCACAGTTAATTTAATTAATAAGTCAAAGCAATTTATATAAGTCATACTTAATAGCGCAGTTTATGGAAAAATTGCATTTTTCCCATTACATCCTATGTTAATGCACGATGGTACGATGATGTACAATATTCTGGCTTATTCGGTTTAAGCAACATAATCACCTCAACACATTTCCATTCGTTAGAGAAGTAATCCAGAGCAATCTGATGCATTCTGGAGGAAGATTTTTAATAGTGTACCCGTCCATTTTATCATACCCAGGCGATTTTTTAGGATTTGTGCACGTTATATACTTCTGAGATAGCGAACTGAGATTGTGATCTGACTTATTGGCAAAAACATCTGGCAGGGAGTGTCAAACAAATTTACTTACATCCCCCACTGTTTCAGCACCATACTCTGTATTTGGGTGAAAGCCTGAGTGCAAGTGCCATTATTGTCAACTATTATAGTATTTCTTCTCGTGGGTCTCTTCAGACATCTAGTTGCTTGCCAGAGGCTATATTCAGGATCACTTGTAAATGGATTAACCATTTTAAGATAGTTTGCTGTCGCTTCATCTTTGATAGCTTTGGTAGCTTTCTGTTTAAATCTTTGGTCGCCATAATGAATTTCACTTTGTCGGTGGTATACTCATCAGTCCGTTCATTGCTAGTGGTGTGTAAGGGGATCCTAATCTTTACATAAATATCTGTGTTTTCAAAAAACAAAAAACTGCTTTGATCAGTTTTTAATCTTTGTAATTGTGGCAATCGCTTTTGTATGTCATAAATTTTATCTTTACTACAGCCGTCAGCAATTTCGCTTGGTTCAATTTATTCTCAGAAAGCTAAACAATTTTTGACGCACTATCTAATTGTACTGCTAGCTATATAATATTATTTAGCTACCGATCGTCTCGATCGGTCGAAACTTAAAAAAAGTTCGGTATCCGAGCTCTACGATGCTCCTCCACACGGATATCGAACTATATGCAATAAACCTATAACTTTTCAGTTCGAAAATTTGTTTTTGTGGGGAACGGCTTTTTTTCCAACAAATAACCAAATTCGCCAATTCTGGGCTCTAAAAATCTTTTCACATATTTGCAAAATCGTAATCTATTTGTCTGCAAGGGAATTCAGTATTCGTGGTGCCGAAGATATCCGTTCTTTTTTGTTTTCTTAAATGTAATTTGTATTCAAAAATCGATTATACCCTGCAGCTATTAAGCAGAATTTTCTATTTTAATTATAAATAATATATACACAATTTACTGTCTTATTGACGCAAGCTTATCTGGCTATTTTTATACCCTGAACCCATTAAAAATGGGTATAAGGGTATAGTGTATTTGTGCAAAATCCAAATGTATGTAACAGGCAGAAGGAAGCATCTCCGACTCCATAAAGTATATATATTCTTGATCAGCTAGCCATTTCCGTCTGTCTGTCTGTCTGTCCGTATGTATGAACGCAAGGATCTCAAAACCTATAAGAGCTAGAGACTTGAAATTTTTCCGATAATCGATAACTTACTCCGTTTCCAAGCGATCGATAAAAATCGATATCGATATTATGTTTTTTGGGCAATTTTAGTAAATAATAAGAGCTAGAATCACCAAACTTGATATATAGCTTCTAAAATAGAATATATATATGCATTTGATGTTGGAAGAAGAGGGTTCAGGGTATCCCCTAGTTGGGAGCTCCCGACTGGAACCTCTTAATTGTTTAATTATATATCTTAACGTTCAAGAAAGTCACCTTTCGCAGAGAATGTCATATTTTCAATCGATATATCGATATCTAATACTAAAAACAGTTTTATTTTTTCTATTGTTGAGGGTTTTTTAAAAATATATACGTTTTTTATATTGAAAGAAGTCTCAATTTATTATCTTTTATGAATTTATTTACTATCATTAATATAGTGAGGTAAATATAATTTTTATACATTTACTCTACAGATAATCCTTATCGCGAGCACTCAGCTGTGAGTCAGTGTAAATAAAAGAGCTGGCATGTTAAAAATGAGTCTAGAGCTTATTTTGTTGTGTGTATTATGTTATGTACTATACTTAGTATTTTTTAATTTTACGAAAGATCGTGTTAAATTAAGAGACGAGCTTAAATGGCGCAGAGAAAATGAACAAAAGGTAAAGCAAATATTCTTGTAGTGTTGATTGTAAACAAAAAACCAAATCAATATTGCAGTTGAGGGATGATATCAGAAGGGAAGAAGTAAAAATAAGCTTTCTTAAATATCATAAGCAAATGGAGGAAAAACAACAACAGCTTGTGTTGGAGATCGCACGCAAAGATCAGCTAATTCATAATTTGGAAATCAAAATAGAAGAGAAAGGATTTTGGAGTTTTTGCAAATCAACTTTAAGTAAATATAAAAATAAGATAACCGGCGCCAGCAGCACTCCTCAAGGTAGCCAGCAATAGAACCCTACAGCATAATCACAATGCAGCCTAGGAGCTGGGAGCTAGGAGCAAGGATCTACATTGACTCAGTCTACTTTCCAATCTCTTTGGCTGACCTTTGAGCGGCTTGCATCTGCTGAATTCTTCGTTCGTACCTATTAGCATGTACATAGTATATGCAATAAAGATTTAATGGCTTGTGTTTTTCCTGAAATTAAGTTGGTGCCCTGCGCAGCCAATAAATAAATAAGAAATGAAATCGAGTAAAGCAACAACTATACAGGATCAATTATGTATGATATTATACACATTTTTTGGTTACTCGGAAATTCGATCGTACACCGAGTTGTGGCAAAGCTCATTTTGTCAGCAATAAGTTTTATTTTATGGTGATCTAATCGGACATGCCAACTCTTTGAAATGTGTCGCAGATCCTAGAGACTGGCATAATTTCAAATCGATAAAAATGATACATTAACTCTTATCGCACAGTTGATTCCGTACGTTTTTTATTGATTGTTATCGATATTAGCCCATTGAAATCGGTAGACGTATCTGGGATTTGTATGATTACTTGGTGAAATATAAAATGAGCGAACTGCAGTTATTTCTGTTGCCTTTAGCACTATTTGCAATATATTTGGTATTCATGATTTGGAGGAAGGAACTTAATAATTTGACAAAAGTTGTAGAAAATTCCAAAGATAAAGAACAGTCGGTATGTCAATTTTATTTATTAGCGCACGAGCTGTTTATTTCTATATTTATTATTGTAGTTGAAAGAAGTCGCCTTGGAAAACAAATTGAAGCTGCACATTCTTAAATATGAAAGTTCTATGGAGAGAAAAAGACAGGATCTAATTGTGGAGCAAATGAGAACAAAACACACCCAAAAAACAAATGTTAAGGTTAATATAAATGTTAACATTAATATGGGAAAGCCCGGTCTGTTCTAGGGTGATAATTTCGGAACGACAGCGCTATCAAATAAGAATGTCGTAGTTGGAAATCGATAAACCCATAACACTCATATACATGACTAAAACATTTTACCATTAGATAAGTAACTTCAAGCAACGAATTAAAATTGTTTATTTTCTCAAATTTAAATAATAAAATGATTACTTATTGGACTTCTTAATTTTAATAAAGTGTCTTTTAAGTTTTAATGGAGTAATTTAGATGTGACCTATAGATAACATTATTGTATAGGCTCGAGTGAGTCAGTTTAGCCACTAACCACTAATACAACATATATGTACATATGTACATAGACAGATGGGTCAGCTTGAAGAAAAGTTTTTCGCTCCCACTACAGGTAACTGTTCGGCTTACTCTCAGTGCTCTCTCATTTGTGTAAAGATCATTTAAATGTATGTGTGTGTATGTGTCCGCACATCAACAATGCGCACAAATTCTATTTTTTCTCCACTGTCGGAGGCATTTCTTCCCTTTTGAAGGGAAGAGTAATATGAAATAATGATAGGGTTTGCCACGTCAATGCCAATTGTTGTAGTTTCGGTTGATATTGTCGGTAAGGGTCCCTAAGCGTTGGCATGTGTGGGTGGAGACTTTTTAGGCCGACCATGCATGCACACTTACAAAATGTTCTATATGAATAGAAGCATTTGTGGTTTAACTTAGCGCTTACAGTTGCCGTGCTTCGCAATGGACAGTTGGAGACTTTTGATTGCTTCTAGAATATGTTTTATTATTTATTAATTGTTTAAATATTTTATGTAAGAGCGTAATAAGCTATTAGTAAAACAGCTGAACAGTTGTTAAGTTCAGTTACTTTGTAGTGGAAATATTGAAATTTAGCACATACATGTATTTATTATTGTATATAAAGGACGAAATTAAGGATGTAAAAATTCAGACCTACCAAGAAATTAACGCTTGAGAAGAAAGTTAAATATAAAAATGAGCAACGTGCAACTAGTACGTGAAGAAATAAGAAAATTCGTGTAAAAAATCTTGATTCATGTAGGTCATTTTGGTACTAATCCTATACAAGACCCTGCGACTACGACCCTACATTAACGTGTGTTATTGAGCATCCTGAACCCATTGCAAATGGCTACAAATGGTGTAATGTTTTTGTGCAAATGTATGTAACAGACAGAAGGAAGCATCTCCGACCACATAAAGTATATATATATTCTTGATCAGCATCAATACCCGAATCGATCTAGCCATGTCCGTATGTCCGTATGTATGAACGTAAGGATTTCAGAACCTATAAGAGCTACAGAAATTTTAGCCGCCGAGTGCCTGCGCAGATCGAGTTTGTTTTTGATAATCGATAACTTACTCCGTTTCCAAGCAATCGATACAAGTCGATATCGACATCCTGTTTTGTTTTTTTTTTTTAGCAAATTGAGTAAATATTATTAGCTAAAGGCACCAAACTTAATATGTTTATTCTAAAATAGTATATATATATCAAGTATCTTTCATTTTATACCTATCGCAACCTCCCCGCTAACACCGCAGAGCTATAAATCGAGTTAATAACCCAAATTATAGTGCCCACCAATTTAAGCCACAATTTAAATGCAATTTACTTTTTGAGAATACACAAATATTCTAAGATATACTGTAAAAACATGCATTAAGATCGGTTAGCAAAAATCCAAAAGTTATGTTTTTTACTGTACAATTGGATGGGGCAGCTAGAGCAAATTCCAAGAATTTCTGTATACATGTACACACACACATACGCATCTGCTTCGAATTCTATCAACAGCATTGAAATTGCGATTGTTTTCTGTGCTGCCATTTTAATTGTTTTTTTTTTTTTCTCAATAAGACTCAATTATTGGTGTGGCTGTTGAGTAGTGACAGTGGCGAGCGGTGCGGTCTGTCGCGAGTTCACTCCCTACCGGGGTAGGCTGGTGTGGCTGTTGAGTAGAGTGTGCAGAAAGCAATGCGGTCAGTTGCGAGTTCGAGCCCTGCCAATGGAACTTTTTTTTACATTTATCTTTATTACTTCAAACTAGGACTTCCGACTAGAACCTCTTACTTATTTAAAATGTGTTTTGTATTCAATAATCGATTTTAACCTGTAGGTTTTAAAGTAGCTTAAATATATATAATATGAACAAAATATATTTTATTATTGACCAGTTTATTATACCCTTGCAGAGGGTATTATAATTTTGTCGTGAAATGTATAACGCATAAAAGAAGACATCTCCGACCCCAGAAAGTATATATATTCTTGATCAGTATCAACAGCCAAGCCATGTCTGTCTCTTTCTATGCGAACTAGTCGCTCAGTTTTAAAGCTATCGTCATGAAATTTTGCAGAAGTCCCTCTTCCTGTTGCACGCAGAACATATGTTGGATCCAGCTGGATCGACCACAATATTATATAGCTGCCATAGGAACTACCGGTCGAAAATTAAGTTGTTGAATGGAAAATTTTTTTGTTTTTCAAGATATTTTAACCTGCACTAATTTTCGGGCAAAACACTATGAGCATTACGAAAAGGTTGGGTCTGCAGGGGTCTTTTTACCATCAAGTGGTTTTTTGTAGCACCTTTCGCAGAGATTGTCATCTTTTTAATCCATTTATTGATATCTAATACTTAAAACAGTTTAATTTTTTCTATTACAGTTTAAATTGAATGTTTTTTTAAAATTGTTAAGATCGTAATAAATTCCTAAGTATTAGATCTAATCGATGTATGTATCGATAGAATAACTGAATGTATCGATATTGGAAAATAGACAACATCGATAAAAGGAGGGGAGACTGCATCAATGCATCCTTATCGCGAGCACTCAGCTGTGAGTCAGTGTAAATAAAAGAGCTGGCATGTTAAAAATGAGTCTAGAGCTTATTTTGTTGTGTGTATTATGTTATGTACTATACTTAGTATTTTTTAATTTTACGAAAGATCGTGTTAAATTAAGAGACGAGCTTGAATGGCGCAGAGAAAATGAACAAAAGGTAAGGCAAATATTCTTGTAGTGTTGATTGTAAACAAAAAACCAAATCAATATTGCAGTTGAGGGATGATATCAGAAGGGAAGAAGTAAAAATAAGCTTTCTTAAATATCATAAGCAAATGGAGGAAAAACAACAACAGCTTGTGTTGGAGATCGCACGCAAAGATCAGCTAATTCATAATTTGGAAATCAAAATAGAAGAGAAAGGATTTTGGAGTTTTTGCAAATAAACTTTAAGTAAATATAAAAATAAGATAACCGGCGCCAGCAGCACTCCTCAAGGTAGCCAGCAATAGAACCCTACAGCATAATCACAATGCAGCCTAGGAGCTGGGAGCTAGGAGCAAGGATCTACATTGACTCAGTCTACTTTCCAATCTCTTTGGCTGACCTTTGAGCGGCTTGCATCTGCTGAATTCTTCGTTCGTACCTATTAGCATGTACATAGTATATGCAATAAAGATTTAATGGCTTGTGTTTTTCCTGAAATTAAGTTGGTGCCCTGCGCAGCCAATAAATAAATAAGAAATGAAATCGAGTAAAGCAACAACTATACAGTATCAATTATGTATGATATTATACACATTTTTTGGTTACTCGGAAATTCGATCGTACACCGAGTTGTGGCAAAGCTCATTTTGTGAGCAATAAGTTTTATTTTGTGGTGATCTAATCGGACATGCCAACTCTTTGAAATGTGTCACAGATCCTAGAGACTGGCATAATTTCAAATCGATAATTCTTATCGCACAGTTGATTCCGTACGTTTTGTATTGATTGTTATCGATATAATCGCATTGAAATCGGTAAACGTATCTGGGATTTGTATGATTACTTGGTGAAATATAAAATGAGCGATCTGCTGTTATTTCTGTTGTTTATAACACTATTTGTCATACATTTAGCATTCATGTTTTTAAAGAATGAACTTAATAATTTGACAAAAGTTGTTGAAGAGTCTAAAGAAAAAGAACAGTCGGTAGGTTCATTCTGTTAAAAGCGCTCGAGCTTGTTTACTTTTGGATTTATTATTGTAGTTGAAGTATGCCGACTTGGAGAACAAATTGAAACTGCACATTCTTCATTTTGAAAGTTGTATGGAGAAATTAAGGCAAGATCAGGAGCTAAGGAGAACATTTATCACCCAAACCACAAATATTACGGTTAATGTCAATGTGGGAAAGGAAGGTCTGTCCTAAGGTGACATTAGTTTTTTTTATTAAAGAACGACAGCGTTATTAAATATTTAAATTTGTAGATTTTTCCAGAGAATGCCATAGCTGGAAATCGATAGATCGATAACACTTATATACCTGATCAATTTCAATGTTTTATCGTAAGTTTAGTAAGTTGAAGCAGTAAATAAAAAAGTTTTTAATGCTTTTCTCAAATTTAAATAATAAAAATTACTTCTTTTCGGGCATCTTAATTTTAATAAAAGTGTGTTTTAAGTTTTAATGGTATAATTTTTGGTAACATCAAAAATAGATAACATTATCATTGCATACGCCAGAGTGAGTCAGTTGTCGTGCTTCAAAATGCTTGAAAATTTGGGACTTTTGATTACTACTGGAATATGTTTCATTATTTATTTAATGTTCAAATATTTTATGGAAGAGCGTAATAAGCTATTAGTAGATTTGGAAAATGCCCGAACAGCTGAACTGTTGGTAAGTGCAGTTCCTTATTACTGTAAATAATGAAGTTAAAAAAATATATTTATTATTGTAGATGAAGGACGAAATTAAAGATATAAAAATTAAGGCCTGCGAAGAAAAAATAAACGTCTTGGAGGATAAAGTGTCGACTCTTAATAAGCAAGTTAAATATAATAAGGAGCAACTCAAGAACTCGAAGGAAGAAAGATCGTGTCCAATATCTTGATTTGTTAAGGTCAATATGCGACTAATCCTAAATATGAATAACTATAACATTTAGTTTTTTTTTACAAAGTGAGTCTTACCCGGGTTAACTGCTACCTTAAATTAATATATATGATTTGGCTAATTGAACATAGCAGTCTTATCACTTCCGCTGGCATTAATCATAGCTGAGGCAGCCATTATATTTTTAAATTGAATTCAATAATTTTGTTAAAAATGTATTCAAGCGTATAAAGTTTTACTGATAATAACTGTCGATTAACAAGCTTTATTGGCTAATATTCATGGCGGAGGTATCCGAACTGACATCGGCAATGTGAAAAGAAGCATCCTCGGCGGGCATGTCATCCTCATCGGTGTATAAACGTCGCAAACGCTCCTTATATCTGCAATTGAAATGTGATCTCTGTACACATGAAGTGTGTAAAATGCAGATAATGTTACTTACAGTTCGCTGTCGGGATTGTTATTTTGATTGCGACACTTGTCCAATTTTTTTTCAATGGCCTTAACTTTTTCGCGATCAGGCGGCTGATAGTTTTTGACCAGCATACGTATTTCTGCAAAGTATGGATGATTTTATACGTGCGTACACGTGCATATCAACATCACTCACTGCGCACTGCATCAATTAGACCCGGAAGCTTCTCTCGCGCAGACACAAAGAGTAAGTCTGTGACATAACTATCTAGATTCTCCTGCTCCTTACTGGCCGCATGCAGCACTGCAGCCAGGCCAATTTGCGAAGGAGTGTGCAGCAGGCAGGCGTCCGTGAAGAACGTTGAATCGATAAAACTATCTATTTGCGGACGCAAACGATCTGGATTTTGCATATTGCTGCGAGTCTGTAAGTTAATTTTTATGAAGGTGTGAGTCAAAAGCAAGTTAACATATTAACAGAATCAGTTTCATGCCTTGATATCTATTAGAAAACCCTCAATCGGGCGGAACGGATTGTGTATTGTGAGGTAATAGTTTAGTTGGCCAATTAATAGTAGCTCATTCGAGAGGACAATGTCGGTGGCTTTATTGCGATCGCCTTTTATGTTGTTTACAAACTGGTTGATCGATACATTAAATTCCTCCACCTTGCAGGCCACAAACACACATGTAGCTCTATAAACGAAATGAATTTGTTATTCTTTACACATGCGTATACAAATTTCAATCTCACAATATTTCCTTGGGATGATAGTCCATGGGCGTATTGTTTAAGTAAAAACGCTTGAAGTAATGAAATGCAGTTCCAATTACGCATTTTGGCATTGGCGGATCAAAACGTCGGCAAAAGTCAACCAAATAAATTTCATACTGTTTCAGCAGCAGTCGCTCCTCAGCCGGTGACAGAAAGAAGTTTTCGAGGCTGCCCGACGATGGTGCTTCAGTCTCATGTTCTTCTATGTACTTGGTGTTTTGCTCCACCCGGAATGCTTGCAACTGACCCTCGTTTGCGAAAGTCCAGGAACGTTTTTGTGAGCTAAGCGGATACATTATTGGACATTGTTTTTTAGGTAATTTATAAAGTGTGCTGTTGCCTAAAGCAAACAAATCCGAGTTGCCAGCTTGCTCAAAGTAATGGCAACAATCGCTAATATGTTAATGTAAAAACTATCGATAGCTATCGCCATCGCTAGTATTGCATACTTATGAGTGCCAGAAAAATATCGATTCGCATTCTGTTATACAATTGTAGGAAACATTTATAATGCTCACAACAGCTGTTTCGGCAGTCGGCACGACGCACGTGCCGCGCATTTTAAAGCACGCAGGAGGCGACGGCAATCGCTTGACTCAGCAGCGTTCAAAACTGAATTGATTTAAGTTGTGTTTCTTTGTTTTGATGCTTCCTCCCGAAATCAGGTCAGGTGTTCTCTCTGGAGTAGACGTGTGTGTACATGCATACGTCTACATACATGTTTTCATGTATGGGATCCGGTTTTGGACATGCTGACATTTGTAGACCCTTATTGAAACGTTTCCCAATAAAAGTGTATTAAAAAATCAATTTTATGTTATTATTAGCCCTGATAAAGCACTCAATATATTTGTACTTATAGTTCAGTAGTTTTTGGAATTTTTTGTAATGTATTCTCTATGTATGTGTTACAAAGCATATTTCAAAGCACGCATACTCTAATGACTGTAGTGCATTGATTCTCTGTATACTTTGTATGCAGGAGCTGCGTACAGTGGCAATAAAATTGCAATTAATTTTTATTGACAACTCTGAACTCTTGTTACAACGTTTTTTGTTGTTGATATTTTAGCGATTTCACCGGCGCAATTTCGAGAGCGTTTGAGCTGGTACTCAACGAGCGCGGTTAAGAAATAAAAGATACTACATATGTTATTTGTTGAAAATTCAATTAAAAAGGGAAAAGGGAAACATTTGTTCTCTATGATTTATTTGGTAGTTCTTAGCAGGTAACCAAATAAGTTAAACTAAATATTTTAATTCAGGAAAGCTTTGGTTATTAGCATTATCCTTTTAACGGCTTTTCCCAAACCGACGTCAAAAAGACCACCCAAAGAAAGACCTAATTATGTAATACAATCCAAATAATACAAATTTTGTTACGATTTACGACTGTTGAACTTCGAGCGTACAATAAAAACGAAATAAATAAATAAATCTATGACTGAAAAAGAAATCAGTTTACAATAAAAGCTGGCCCCAGCATTTACAAACAATGAAATTCAATGCAATAATTCAATATTCAATTGAATTTTAAGCACGCCTCAGATCGCCTTCTTGGATCTGTGAAACTAGAGACTGACGGTCAGACTCCCTGACGGCAATCCATCTCTGCTTGTCTGCCGCGCACGCGCACAGGCCGAGATGTATCTGAGTCATATGAACAAACAGATACAGATACAAGCGCGCGTGTAAGAGGGAATTGGCCTCAAAAATGTGGTGGCAAAGAAAAGTGGGGTGGATTAAGAGAGCCAATAAAGAGCACATAAGTGACATAGGCGTTTGCCAGCTAATACCTAACGTAGAAAAAAAAGACAAGACTGCTTGACCTGACCCTGTATGTAGATTTAAGCTAAGCCACTCATACATTTTTTTTACAATTGCCACTAAATTTGTAAAACACTGCTACGATTATCTTAGACGCTTTTAAAAAACGATTCAATTTATAATGTTGTTCATACATTATCAAACTGCATCAGTTCTAGCTTTTAGCTCGATGTCTGTTTATTTGCCAAATCTTCCACTTCGAACAATTGTTGATCACAATCAGCGACATCAATAAAATCATTGCGAAAGTATCTCCAACAGGCATCTTCAACACACGCACACACTTCGGCCAACTCGCTCACATTCGCTTTGCTTTAATGCATAAATGCATCTTAAAGGCAGGCTCAGGACGGAACCACTCCGGACCCAGACGGACTATAGTCTGTTTGTACGTTATGTATTTGTTGCCTCTGCTGTTGCTTCTGTTTGGCCGCTGCTAATTGTGCGTGTGTCGTGGATTATGTGCGGCTTTTGGTATCTCACTTTGTCGTTGCTACTCTCGGGGGGCGTGTTTCTACATAGACAAAGCCAGCAAATCGATGAATGTGTGAATGCTTAAATTTGTCTTCGATTTGTGTGTGTGTGTTCGTGTGTGTATATCATTTGTGGCTGAGCCAATGGGAAACATGTATAAATATGTGATTAACTCTAGGCATTCAATGTTTTTGATGATTTCACTTTCAGTTCGTTGCTTAAGTCATTTGATTTTCGTTTTCATTTATTTTGCTTGTATTCTATTTCGAGCCTTTTGAAAAATACATACATGTATGTATATATATATAAATATAAATACTTTCATTCAATTAACCCTTTGGCGCTTTGTAGCTTAATTTCCTTCTCCTTGTCAGTTTGTTGCTGAAGTCATGTGTCCACAGGATTGTCATAATTACATTTATGTAGTCAATATCCACATAGCTGACATTTGGAAATATATCAGCCGGGTTACGTAATGAATAAGGCATCGCAACATTCGCTCAGTTAGCTGTCTTCCAAGGATTGTGATGGATATACACATAAGCACGGGTCATGTGACAGTTGAATCGCAAATATATTAAACAATTTGCTGCAGATGGTCATGTTAAGTCTGTTCATGTGTCGATTCGCTGCAACTCTTAATGCCAACCCAGATGCGGAAAGCAGCTCTTAAGGCAAAAATAAAAAAATTGCAATATTGTTAGGATATCAGATAATACATATGTATACCGAAAAAAAATACTCTTTATAGCATAATGTTAATAACATACAGCTCTCGGCTGTTAATAACAGCTAAAAAAGAAATAAACTTATAGATATGATTTTCTTAATTGTTTTTTTTTTATTATTATTATTTTTTCTTGCTGCCTTTTACATTGTGTTTGCATAACTTACATGTCTAAGAAATAAATTATTTAAAAGTAAAAAACAAACAGAGTGTCTATTATGATAAACAACATGCAAATTAAAATGATAGTTATATTTAAATAAATTAATATAAAAACACAATTAAATGACAGTCAGTTTATAAATTTGGCTAAACATTATTAATATTTAGATGTGTTTACGAGTATTTCAAATCTTGCCTACGTGCTGTAATTGAGCTAAAAACAATTTATTTGTACATACTTTCACTGGCACCACTATCAAATCTTTTGCTAAAAACCAAGTGGGATTACAGAGTAACTGTGCCACAGCGTCGAACTGCCCACTTTGATATGTGAAGGCTTCCATGGCACTCTGTTGAATTCCCGGGTAATCACAAGTCCTCAACTTCCTGGCTATGTGTGTGTGTGTGTGGGTCCTTAACCTGTGAGCGTCTGTGAACGTACCAGGGTCAGGTCTAGGGGCGTGGGCTTGCGTGCAAACGTGGACGAGGTTGAGGCGGATGGCAGGTTGGCTGATTCACTGAGTGGACTGTCTGAACTGTTCGCCACGGGACTCACAGCATCCGTTCGCGATCGGAGTGACAAATCAATAGGCTCCTCCTCCGCCGGACTGGTAGCTGGAAACGGGAACAGCAGCTCCGACTTAAATTGCTCCTTGAAAATTGGCAGGGGCGGCATACTGCTGGCCATTAGAGCTGGCGGCAGAGTAAACGGTGTGAAGGAGCTGTACAACGGCTCCGAGTGACTGCGAAATATGTCGAGCAGCTCCTTGTGACGCCGCTGCTGCTGCTCCGCAATGTCCGCCTCAGAGCTGCCCGCATAGGCGGAGCTACTCTGTCGCATCGCCTTCCTAATTGTGCTGGTCGTGGCGCTCAGCACGCTTGTGCCATCGTCCGTGGGATCACCGGCCGAGGAGGCGCCGGAATCGCTGGGTGTGTTGCTGAGGCGGGATTCGAGCTTCAGCTGGCGGTGCTGCTGCTCGTTCAGATACTTGGCTGCTTGCAGAAATCCGGGCAGGCTGGGGGATGGCGTCGATGCCGCAGCGGGCGCCACTGCACTGCACGTCTGCAGCGCTATGCTGGGCGAGGTTGCTGCCGTAGCCGATTTGATGCAGGGATTCGTCTTGTCCTGGTAGGTTTGCCGCGCCTGGTTGCTCGCTTGCTGCAGCCGCGCCAGCTGATCCAGATTTGCATTGTTCACGCTGGAGCTGCCAGTGCCGGCACCCCCGCCGCCGCCCTGTTGCTCCTGCAGCAAACAGTGTATCTTGAACCAGTTGGAGCGGCGGCCATAGCGTGATCCGCTCTTGGACATGCCCACCAGCAGGCACTTGCGCAGCCGGCAAGCCTTGCACGCAGTTCGATTCTTCTTGTTGATGACACAGTCTCCGTTGTGCTTGCAGCCGGCAATCGCTGGGATGTTGTTGTATGTGCGGCCGAAGAAGGACTGAAACGAAGTAACAGAACGATCAGAAACTGTCATTTAAAATGTATATTTAATAAATATAGTTTAATATATTCCACTGCATAAAGTATTACATTCTGAATAACAACCAGAATCAATACAGATCCTTTCTGTGAGGTAGCTTGGCATCCTACATATGATGGAGTATGGACCACATCTAATAGCTGCCATAGGAACTATTAGAAGACATTATGGTAAACTTGGCCAGTTGCGAGCATAATTGGTCACTTAACATGGGAGCGACGTCTTGAATTGTGAACTTAATTATAAATCTTTCTCTGAAACAATCAATGAGAGTCTCGCATATCCTGGGGTCTTTAACTTTAGATACTTCGAAGTTTATAAATATTATCGAATATTACAATAACCGTAAGATTAATTTCGTTTATAACAGAAAGAAGACTTTAATGTCTTCAAAATGCTCAAGTTAGCTTGAGTCGAATGAATCAGACTTTTTTATTTTATATTATAATTATTGTTATTTTATTATAATTATTCAAATAATTCTCTATTGATAATCCATAATATTACTAAAATTTTTGATATCTACTCACGAACATAGGAGAAATCTAGAGTTGTTCGGCCAAAGTAGCCCTAGGGAAAGGGGACGTACATATGGCTGGATTTGGGGCTTCAAATATCAATTATTGTTGATAGCTTTTGCACCTGTGCACAGCTGTGATTAGCGTTCAGCAAGTGGCATAATTTCAACCAGCTCCGCGCTTCAATTACAAAATGTGCGTTAATAAATTGCCAACGGCTTTTGGGCCCCCGCCCCCCTTTGATGGTGATTATGAAAAAGAGTTTCATGCACTATTTATTGTGGTTGAGCGCTTTTGTTGTGCTTATTACTTGTGTGTTGTAGTTGTTTCATTTTGTATTTTAGCAGACTCATTCGAGAGGAGCTGGGCCAATGTTGTGGCCCGACTTCTTGTTCGCATTGATGATGTTGAAGTTCATTGAGCGCCATGCTCAGCGAATAAGTTAGGTTTGATGCCCGGCCAAAGGCTGTCGCCTTTGCGCTGAGTCATCTAATATGCATGTAATTTTTATTTGATTGACTGCAGTTTACAATTGTGCTCGCCTTGAGCTCAGTGCTCTCTATATAAAATATACTATATATATATATATATACGTGTGCCCATCAGCAGTCGTGCGGTGCTGCTGCTGCTCTAAATTCGCAGAAATTTTCCCATGGCATTTGAAGGTTCCCCCATTGTCCTCGCATCTACTTAAAGTCAATTAAAAATCGATTAATCTACCGAATTGAATTTTAATTACAGCAATAATATTTGATTCCCGAAAAGTAAAAGCCAAATTCGAGTCGATTTTCGCACATCGTATGAGCATGTAAAAAAAGTTTCTTTTTTATTGCAAATTTCACACGATTCGCGCACTTGAAGTCTTCAGCACGTATCATTAAATAGTTATTTGGTTAATTTACCTTGCAGCCCTCGCATGTAAATGCTCCAAAATGAAAACCAGCCGCTGGTTCGCCGCATACTTTACACAGCTGGTTCATCTGAAATTGCCAAAATTAGATGATTAGATGATTTTCTTTAAATTATTAAAACATTTTTTAATTGTTTCTCTAAATAGATAAGATTTAGTCTCGGCTATATGATCATATTCACACATTATATGTATCTATCAACCTATCCAATTCCTCATCTAAAAATTTATATTTATTTTTACATATTACATATTATATTGCTGACAAAGTCGCTAACTCAAGTGCACGGAGTTCAGGGATCGAGCCCATGTGAACAAGTTAACATATGTATTCAATGGAAAATAAAAGTAAAATCTTATAAAGCCCTTGTTGTTATTGATAAACTGTTTGTCAGGCTTGAGAAGGCCCATGGTCACATACAAACTTACTACAACAGTGAAAATACTTAAAAAAAACAAAAACAACAACAACAACAACAAGAGCAATATCAAGAAGAAGAAGAAGAAGAAGCAGCAGCGGCAGCATAACCGATGACCCACTGCGTTTCTCTTTACTTTTTTTTGCCACAGGTCGTGGTTAGAAATTGAGGTATGCAGCGACCGGTTTGGGCTGGCACCATCCAAAAGACGGCAACGAAGAATACTCGATTCCTGGCCTGGTCGCACTTCCCTTGCCGGCAACTCCCCGCATGAGGATGGGTCGTGTTCACACATCTAATTTACGTAGTTACTTGTTTTCTGTGATCATAAATCTAAGGTCAAAACTGAACAAAAAAAAAAAAAAAAACTGGAAATATGTACAAACATTTTGCGTCAATTATTTGATCAGCGTTCAAATGTTTGGTTAGCTTGAATTTAGTAAGAGAATTGGAAATATTCGTGAAATATACATTCGGAATGTAACGAAGGCTTCTCAGAGTTTCTTTTACTTATAAACTTATTATTTTCGGTATTATATTTAATAGAACAATTTTCGGACAAATTTTATAAAAAAATTTCATTTTTAATTGTCCTTTGATTGCAGTCCACTGAAAAGTGACTGAGCTCTAAGTTATGTATAAATTGGGACTGAGTCTCTTAAAAAGTTTTTGAGCTTCAACCATATAATTAAAAAAAAATATATATATGGATCGATTAGGGTTTCGGCTTGGCTGATTTTTGGGTAGTTGGTTTTTTTAAGATTTGTCTAACAGTTTCCGGTTTTCTAAAATTTCGGATCAAACGCGATTTGCAGTTTCGATTTTTAGTATACAATTTTAAGCTGGTCATGCTATACTATGAAAATTAATAAGATATAACTTTTTCTATATTTAAATAATTTTCATAAATTTGTTTTTTTTTTTTTATTTTTTTTGGAATTGATGGCCCTTTTTTCAAGGACTCTACTTAGATTTTTTAGCAAATTCGAAAACAAATTATAAAATCAAATAAAATGTTAAGAAAAAATTTTGTGAAATAGGAAATTATGAGCTGGGGTAATCGTATAAACGTAGTCAATACATGATCTGTAATGGTATAATCCGCGAATAGACGAAGTGCAAAGGAGTACAGTTTGGACAGTTTCGTAGAGGATCATGATTATCGCAGGCATTTAGCACTTTGGATATTGGGTCGTCTTCTAAAGCTTTTCTTTTGGCACTTTGTCGAGTTTTCGCCATCCCCATCGCCATCGCCATCGACACTGGCATCGCAATTCAATTTTTTACTTGTTTATTTATTTGGTTTTCTGGAAAAGCGCACCGCTGTGCCTAAAATTGTCACGGTTTTGTGCGGCAGCCGCTGCCGCTGTGAAGGTGCAAATTTAATGTTTGCCAATTTAGAAGCGCTCGCTGTCACCTTTGGTGTCCATTAGTGCGCGTTTATATGCAAAGTGGCGGTCTGGCGTGTTCGCCATTATCACAGGAGCAGCATCACGCGGGGCCACCACCTGCTGGGCGCTTGCCGCAACTGCCAAGCGCTGTTTCGCCCTACTCCAGCCCAGGCCAAGCAGTGTCAAGATATGGACACAATAACGAACTTACCGGGAATGGAAATGGGAACGAGCTCATGGTACTACGCCAACATTGCCAAGACGTGAAGTGCTTATGTCCAATGCTTGGCAGTTCCTAGTTGTACTTTATTGGGTCACAGGGCAGTATTATCGCCGGAGATCATGTATACAACTGACAGTGCTCGTCTCTATGGTTAAACAAGTTCTGCATTGACCAAGTTATAATTTAAAACTATAATAAAACGATTTAAGCACTACTTAAAGCAAGAATTGACAGTTGTTCTCGCAAGCTGTGCTGTCCATGGCTCTAGCTTTTTAGTTTATATACATAGGTAATAACTAAATCAATTGAAATAATTAAAAATAATTAATTGCCGATAATGTTGCGTTTTATTTAGATAGAAACTAGTTTTAAGGGGCAAAAACGTAAAAAAATAACTTGTGGTATAAATTGCACTGCAATTCCCTTTCATTAACTGTCGCCTTCAAACCAAATTTAGAATTGGTTTGCCTTAATTAGGTTTCTTCGCTTTGGCAAAAGTAGAAAAATCCTCCACATAATTAACTTGCCGCATGCCACATGCTAAATGCTAATTAAAATCTCTCTATTGTGAATGTTCAATTCTTCATTTCAGGATAAAATTATAAGAGAAATTTCCTCGTTCTCTTTAGTCAAATGTTAATTATTTTATTTACATGAACTGCTTTGATCTAAAACTTTTACTTGAGATAAGTCCAATTGAACTTTTTGAATGCCTCAACTTATGCCACTTGTTTTATGCTATAATTGACTTTTGTAGCCAATAAATCGAATGGAAGATAAAGAACGGTGTCCGGGCAAAATGACATAGTTTAGCTGTCGATTGCAGTCAAAGTTTCGAGTACCTTCAACTAGATTCATATACAAGTTTTCTGCCTTTTCCTTCGCTGTTCGCTGAGAACAGAAGCAAACCGAATCTCATTCAATTGGGTAACAATGAAAACAAGATCAGTTGGAGGTATCTACACATTTTCAACAAGCTCATCAAGTAGCCGTTGACAGAGCGGGCCAAACAGAAAAGATATTCAGCAATAAGCATGGCAAAGAATAATAAACAAAAAAGTGTCCTTTAAAGCAAACAAAATGTTCTACACTACAAATCAGATAAAAGGGCATTTACCTAAAAGCAAGACGAAGAGTCTTTTTTTCTTAATAATAAAAAAAAAGGTGTTCAAACAGGCAAACCACGATTGTTGAAAATATTTTGCAGTGGATACAAAATAGAACAAGACGAGCCAAGCCAAGCAGGCAAACAGGAGCACATCCAATACGAGCTCAAACTCAAATATCGGTGACATACACACACACACACATAAGCACACTCACACACAGACAGAGAACACCAAATGGACTACAATGAACAATTGCCCATAATATGCTTTATTATTAGCCTCTGCCAAAAGACATCGCAATATGCAAATCCATTCACCAGAGTCACACGCTCTAGTTTGAATTGTTCGCTTCCTGACTGTCAGCCGCTGCCCCCTGCCTCTTGCCCCTGCCTCCTGCCCCCTGCCGCACGGCTCTCATCCTTCCAAACAGCTTCCTTTAGCCCTTTTATGCTTGATTGCCAGCAGCAGCAGCAGCAGCAGTCAGACAATTAAATGCTTGAATATCTTCAAGTTTTCAACTCTCGTCGTCGCCCTATTGTAATAATTTCTTGACACTTATCGCACAAAAGGCAATAACATAATTAATGAGCATGTCAATGAGCGTCCTTTGTTTTCAGTTTTGCTTCCCAAATGTAGTCGCTTAGCTAATCCCATGAGCATGACACGGAGGTATGTGCCAGCAAGTGCCAGACTATGTAGATCTGATAGAAACTGATAGACTGGTAAACTTTAGATACTAATACTTATGAGTTTACGAGGCCAGCTGGAGATTCGATTGATAGGCACATTTATGTTCTTTCATAACGAGCTAATAATAAAGTTCTAAGTATGTATTCACAGAATTTGCATTATTCATATTTAATGACATTGCTGGAGATCTAATGCATTTTATTACATTTTAATAGCAGCATTGACTAACTAACGATAAATCAGTTAAATGTCAACGCTTAAATATTGTAATTAACGATTTAGTAATGATGAAGATAAACACCAAACCAATTGCAAGAAATAACCATATACATATCACATTATTAGTTGTACGTTGCACCTTTTCGATTTCGCAATTTATATAAATTATAAATATTTTCTTATTTTTTTGCTGGCTTATGCATTAATATTACAATTTGGCTGCACTCACCTTTTCACAATATTCTTATGCAGCTAGCTGCATAAATTCTTAGGCTGAAATTGATTTTCAGATTTAACTTTAGATTTTAGCTTTTACACAAAACACACACTCTTTATATTCGTTGCACAAATCTTTAGGCGATATTTCTATTCATATATTTTTCGCGTTATTATTTGATGTTGCATTATTTTTTATTTATTTTTTGCCAATTTAGCGACGGCCTTGCACAAACTCACGAGCGAGCTGACAAACTCGTGAGCAATCACGCGGCGAGCATTCCCGATGAGCGCGACTTATCGCGTGCTATAATCCTCACGTGAGTTAATTTCAAGTAGCGGTATTCTGCAGCCTTGCGATGCTTTGCAGCGTAGCGCCCATCCGAGACTAAATCGTCATCATCGTTCTGAGCTCCAACCAACCGACTGACTGGCCCTGGCCTCAAAGATCATCAGCAGCAGCAACAGCAGCATTTGAAGTCGCGCGCGCACGCGTCTTCGGTAAGTGTGTGTGTGTGTGTGTGTGTGATTGTGTGACTGTGTGTGTATGGCTGTTGATGTGTTGTGTCTGTAACAACCCAGCAGGAAATCCATAGGTGATAATCACATAATCGTTAATGTACATAACATTTGCTATGCTGCTTAGGGCAAGGGGCTTCAAAATCCAATTGACGCTTCAGTTTAGTCTTTCATAAATTTATTTTCTGAGCCTAAGTGTTAGCGGAACAAAAAACTTTTTATAATCAGATCTTGACGGTACCAAGTATGGTATAAAAAATAACCATTTAAATTTCTTTTAGGAATAAGTCCTGTAAATATATCAAAAATAGAAGGGGAATGCACACAAATCATAGATTTTTAACATGTTAGCATATAGAAAACTAGGTTACTTCCCTCATCACGTCGTTACAGAGGTTTCATAACAATTTTTTCGTTACTAGTAGCTTTTAAATATACACTCTCAAAGGTACCAAATATTAATGCTGACTGATTTATTATATTTAAAGAAAAAAATGAAAACAAATAAAAAAAAATTTCAACAGTATATGTGTTTAGTTTTATAAGCATGAAGCATGCAAAAATACCGAAAACATAAGTGAAATGGTAAAAAATCGCTGACTTTTAGCATTCTGGCAAACAGAAAAATCAGGTACTTGCTTTATCGTGGCTTTACAGAGGGCAATCGCAATTTCCTGTTCACGAGCAGCGGCGGCTGTTACTGCTACTGCTGCTGTTAATGTTAACTACTGTGAAATGTTAAAAGCCGGGTTCGTTGTTTTCTGTTTTCTGTTGTTGTTGTTGCTGTTGCTGCTCTTTAACTCTTCATGCTGAATTGTGGTTGGCTGTTGGCAGCGGCACGATCCGCCAGCATTCGTTTGTTTTCATTGAATTTCTCGATGTGGTTGGCTGTTGATTTTTTTTGTTTTTCTTACGAATTGCTTTTGTTGTTGCGCTGACTTTACACACAGTACAGTTATTATCGCGCGCGATTGCATGCGCCGCTGTAGCTGTGTGTGTGTGAGTGTGCGAGCGAGTAGGCTTGCAAGTGTGCGTGTCTCTGACTGTGTGTGTGTGTGTGTGCGACTGCCTGAGTGTTTTTATTGTAAATGTGCATCCATTTGTATTCGTATTGGACTAATGTGGCAAAGAGGTGGGCACTTAATGCCCGCCGAGCTGTGTAAATAAAAGCGCGGAGAGCGAACAACATTTTCAAACGAAATTAGTAGCTTGTTTACAAAATGGTGAAAACGAGTTTGTCGCTTAAGTCTTTCGTTTAATGGCACTAAATAAGTTGTGTTTTACATTTTCATAAAAGAAAAAAAAAACGATCGGCCCTTTAAGTCTGCAGCGGTTGAGCATTGTGGAATATTAGATATCTAGAAATATTGAGTAAATATTTTTTTTAAATCCAAATTAATATGGGCTTAGGATAAATTTTCGAAGGGTAATTTTGAGAACAGATTGGACTTATTTTTAATACTAATCAATTAGCTGCAAAAAAATAAGAAAAATACTCAATTCAAGTTTTATTATCCTTACTAAGTCATACTTGATATAAGAATTTTATACTATACATTATATATTATATATTTCAATAGATTCATTTAATAGATTCAATTACCCAATTTTTTATTTGTTACCTCTGTTTGTATACGAAAGTAAATTTTCATATGCAAAACTACAACTCTTAAAATCCTTTAGATGCGAAAAAATAATCTTTATGATGTAAGCGAGCAAAAATATGCATCACATCCAAGTTTTTAGACCGCACGAATGCTCGTTATAAAACCTGCAGCTAAGACAAGGTCCACATTAATTGGAAATTGTTTATGTTACGAATAGAAACAATTTGTGGAACGCTTTTAACGCGCTTTCCTATATCTAATTGAATTCTCTTGTCATAAGCAAGATTGGTGCAAGCTCGCTGAACTGAGCATTGAGGTGATCCTCGGTCAGGCAATGTGAGAGCCAGATCCAGAGCTAAAGATTTAGAGTCAGACTCACTTGTGTCACTTCATGATGATGATGATTTCATTTTAATAACACCACTTGCAGTTGCACACCACAGCGGGCATACCATGGCCAGGCAGCGATCCATTTAATGCACCCCGCCGCAACCCGCTGCGGCCGTGTGTCAACACCAGTTGACGGAGTAACAAGGAAGCGCAACACTCTAAAACGACGTGTAATTTATCACAGCACGAGCAGCATTTAGCCATGAACTGGACGTGAACATTGCTGCTGCTGCAGCGGCAGCGGCTGCGGTTAGTTTTTCACTGACTTGGCTGTCAGCATCGCTGTCCTCTTCATAATCTCTGCGAGACGCATTCAGAGTCGTCATCTTCGTCGTTGTCGTTGTCGTCGTCGTCGTCTTCGTCATTTCTTCTCGGTAGGCAAATCTGTTGCATCTGGCAGCGTTTTAATTTTAATTAAGTTTACGCGCTAGCCAGGCCCGGTCTTAGCCAACTACCAGGCTCTCCCCATGCCCATGTTGGATTGTTTGCAACATCAGTGGCACTGGGTTTTTATGGAACGACATGGTCATAAGCCGGCGTAACTGCAGACGAGCTTACTCGCGTGCTCATGGTGATGAGTTGGGGCATTAGCTTTGATGTCTGCTCATATTTATTAGAGCGCAATCTACTTCAAATTATTGTTGACCAGTGCGGAGAGATATTAATTTACGTGCTGGCCAACTTGAATGCGTTGCATTCGTGGAGCGAAAAAATCTATGAAAATATACGTAACTCGCTTGCTATATAAAACCAAAGTCAAAGTATGCAAATTGTAAACAAATCGATTGGATAAATGTTTGAAAGACTGCAAGGCCAAATAGAAAAAAATAGAAAAATAGCCCGATTCGAATTCCGTTGATGAGGATGTTGAAAGACATTAAACATGCAACATTTCCAAATACAAATTGTCGATGGCCAAAAAGAGCAAGAGCCAGCAAAATAGGCGACAAATCTGCTTCTGCATGCAGCATGCAGCATGCCAAGTGCAGAAGGCGACTGTGGACTGTGAGGCGGACCGGAGCGGAGGAAAGGCTGCTGGAATTGGAGACCAATGCGACATGGCCACATGGCGACATTGCGACATTCGATCGCTGCCAAATCGATCCAGATACAGATACTTTAAATCACAATTTCAGTTGAACGCAAGCCAAACCAAAAGCCGTTGAGTTACAACAACAATACCAACAATAACAAATACAGAAAAAATTGAAAAATAGCTGTGCGCACATGTCAAAGGCGGTAGCAAAAAAACAACAACTATAAAAAAAAATATACAAAAACAACAACAGCAAAGAGCAACTGCAACTTGGCAGCAGCATTTTATTTCAATTTCAATTGATTGTCGTACAATCGCCATGAATAATTCAATTTTACAATTGCATTGCCCGCTGCTCGCAATGGGCGGCTAGAGCGGGACAGACGCACTGGGCGTGGGCGTGAGTGCGACAGAGATCGAGCATCAGACACGGAACATATTTTAGCCACTGTCTGCTGCTGCTGATGCTGTCAATGTTGCCGGCAGCAGTGCCAGCAACAACAACAGCAACAACAACAACAACACAGTTGACGATGAAGACGACCACCTATTACACATGATACATACCAGATATTGAAGTACCTCGTGCTACCAGAAATGCTAGACTGACGCACACTAGGAAATGTTTTCTTTTTGCCAAAGATATGCGGGAATATACGATACCTTAGAATCGTTTAGCCTATAAGCAGCTGTGCGTCTTATACATTTCAAGCTTATCAAGTTTTCAATTAAACTATAGCTCATTTTAAAAGATATCTCGATATTTGTAAGTGAATTTGTAAATATGTTAGATCGTAATTTAAAATTTCAATAAGGTTGGGGTGTGGATAATATCTCCTTTTAGTCTGGATTTACAGAAAGTTTCATTACAAATGATTTATGAATATTTAGTATATATATTAAAAAAAAAAAAATCAGAAAATCAGGCACAATCATTCTATATGCCTGTATTAAGTATTCGGCACTCTAAAGATGCATTTTTCCCTTCCGAATTTCAACTCAAGTTCACATAAGTTCACATACTCTAAACTATCCCAACACGATTATAGCCACACCCAACTCATGAAAAGATTCATCCACTTCCAGGCTTAAATTTCATTGACGCAATTTACAAATGTGAACAAATGATGCCAGATGCTTTTTTGCATACATAAAAGTTGAAATGAAAAAAAAAAGAAAACGGAAATGCATCAAAACATCATCTTGAACCATTAGCAAACTTCAGCTTCGGCTGCCCTACCCCTTGGATGGACTAGTTCATTCATGGGCTGATTAATGGATTTATTATGCAACAATTATGTATGTAAACATTGCCCCATACAGCTACGTTTCCAGTTTCAAGAGCACGGCTCATGTCAAATTAATGAACTTGGCTCTTGACTCTGACACTTCATAAAGGTGTCGACGCGCCAGGATGGAAATGCGACTGGGACAGGATATGCCGCTTACTAGGCTGTCGCTAATTTCATTTGCCTCAGTTTTATGCAGAAGCAGGCGCTGACAGTGCCAACCCGCTCTCAATCCGTGACACACATAAATCACACACTGAAGAGCCTGCGAAATATGCATAACTTGGCCGCCGTTGGCTGACATTGAACTGCCTGAATTAGAATCTAGCACTGGATTCGTTCTGCCAACACATAAAGAAAGAGAAAACTAGTTTGAATCCTGGCATGGGATACGCGCCACCACTTCGCTCATGATGAACGAGTGTCAAGTCGAGTGGCCCCGTCCGCCGAGTGCCCGTTTCACATTTGGCACAGGTCGCATCTGCGTCATGCCATATCGCATCTGCGCCGGCTATGGCCGCGCCTTTTGGGGCACATATTTCGCCAGTGATGTCATCGGCGCACATTTCTCCAGCAAGTCGCATAAATTCGTAGCCCAATTTGTTAAGAGCGCGTGCTTCAGTTTCGCTCCTCGCTGCTCCATGTCGGCATTTGCTCAAAAGAGCCTAATAACAATTGTGCGATCTGGTTTGCTCTTGTGGTTGCCTCACTTCGTTTCAGACGCTCCTCTTTAGAGATAACGGGCGTACATTTTGCAACAAGATTTTCAAATACCCTAACTGAACTAAGCTACATAATTTTATAAAATTAAACTTTTGTCCATTTGATTTTGAGAAACTATCACTGGATGTTGCGACTTATCTTCTAAATGCAAGGACGCAAGAGCATATGTATATAGAGAGAATTTAGAGAATGCTGCACAGAAAATAGCTATAACATTTTTGTAAGAGCTTTTTTTGATGTTCTAATAATATTGATGTTGATATCTTGGATTTCTCTCTTTGCTTTATTTTGTACCTAGGCGCTTGCAACTCCTAACAAGTTAAGGCTTCGAAAAGGGCCAAGGAAAAGGCTGCTGATGTAAGAGCCGGGCTAACCGGGTAGATAACCTGGCTGTTGTTAAGGGCTAATACCATGTGGTTTGCTGGATGTTTTTTTCATAAAAATTATCACCATCCGAACTATGAGAGGCTAATTAGGCGGGTAGTCCATATTAGTAAGTGCTTTGGCTAAGCCACATAGTCGAATGGATCCGTTTTAGTTAGGGCATGTAACACCTTTTTGCATTCGCCTGTGGAGGCCTACAAAAATTAAAAAAAAAAGAAGCGAGTGACAAATTGGAGCGCCTTTAACTTGGTTTTGGGTGTAAGTAGCGCGTACACCTCGACGAGTTTAGGGCTTGGCCAGCGGTTAAAAAATATTTAAATGGATTTCATTTGGGCTGCGTTGTGCTGTTTTGCGCCCCGAAAATATTTGCTTTGCCCTATAAATCTCGGGCATTTTGCCTGCGTTTTTACGACTGACATTAATTGAATTGGGGATGCCGGGGAGCTTTGGGACACTCAGACTTGGCGTAGCACACGCTACATTTGATTTATATGAAATGCGTAATCTGCTTTGGCCAGGTCAACTTACTATGGAAGAATAAGAACAGAGTGGAGTGGAGTTGGGCATTATTTGAGTCCAAGAATCGCATAACTCTTGCTTGGCAATGCTCAGTGGGAATTGGTTGTCTCGCCCAGCTCTGCGCTGTTGCGGCTTTAGAACAAAGTGCAACCGAAATGCCAAAACAATTGCTTCACATTTCCGTGGCTGCATTTGCTACTTTCTTTCGGTATGCTTAATAGACCAGGCCAACTGGGCCAGTGCCAGTGGCGGAGGCAGTAGCACTGCCAGTCCTTAGAGTTGGAGTCTAGTCGGCCTCTGGCCAGAGATCAAAGCTCGGCGATATAATTGGTCGTTGTTTTGTTTGACCGCAGATCTGCGCATCCTCAGCCTCAACCTCAGCCTCATCCTCCTCGCAGGCAGGGTGCCTGGGGCTGCCTGCCCGCTTAATAATAATTCGTTTTGGCAAACAATGTAAATTCTTCATTAGCCTAGCTTCCTAATTTGCTTTGCGCTGCTTACGGCCGAGGGGCGAGAGGAACGTTTGGGGCTTGGTAATTGCAGGCATGCTTGATCAAGAGCTTTAAAATGTAAGCCAAGATCTGGATAAAGGTATTTATGAGGGTTGCGCTGAAATTCGTTACATTTTCAAATTGTTAACTCTATATTGGGAAATGTGCCAACAACTAGAACGACTGGAAATAAATAACCTTATATATAAATTGTTAAAATCAAATAACTTCTATTTTTGGCTCGAAGATAAGTAGTAATACGGATAGTCAAATCGAAATTCCCATTAAAATTTCATGCTTTCAGCATGAAACGGCACAGATTTAGAAAGTTTGTATCGATGTTCCATTATTTAATAATTACTATACTTAAAGACTCAAATCGATGAGTCTCATCACATTACAATCGTTCGACATTCTGGGTTGCATTTTCCAAATGCTCGCTCTGTCGCAATTTTTCACTCCACATGGTATTGAAGCAGATCCAGGAATGCTTCGCTGATTGATGGATTGATTGAGTGATTGACAACGGCGCCAATGAAATGCAACTGTCGCTTTGGCTGGCAAGCTATGGATAGTTCACGTTCTCTAATTAATTAAATGCCATCAAAATCAAGACAATTATGGCAAAATTGACTGAAGGTTTTGCTGTTGTGTATATTCCCCCTCCCCAACCCGTCTCCACCCTATTGTCCAATGAGCTTGGCTCCACATTCATGTTGGAGTTTATTACAATAGGAATTTCCTGTTTTATTTGTTGTTTATTTTGTCTACTCGACGGTGTCGCCGACTGCAACTGCGACCATTCTTTACGACCAGCAATAAATTTAACAATTTGTTTAGTGCAGAGACACTCACAAACAAACAAACACACACACGCGCGTTCACACACACACACACACATACACAGACACACAGACAGCACTATAGACACGCAAAGTGTCTACGATAGACCATATATGGTATACTGGTACCTGAGGCGCAGATGCCAAAAGCACGGCAATTTGTCGAGCGGTAAACAAAAAACGCTTTGGGGCCACTGGGAGCTGCAGCCAACTGGTCTGGATATAAGACTTAAAGTGAATTGTTCTTAGCCGATGGAGGCATAGAGCCAAAGATAGGCGGGATAATAACATATTTTATATAGGTAACTCGGATCTGTGACATATAATCCTATAAATAAAAAAGGACTTTGACCTCTGAGAATTAAAGAGAGTTAAAAGTTATCTATAAGCATAAAACTGTTTTTATACCCTGAACCCATTAAAAATGGGTATAAAAGGGTATATTGTATTTGTGCAAAATCCAAATGTATGTAACAGGCAGAAGGAAGCATCTCTTCTTGATCAACAGCAATAGCAGAGTCGATCTAGCCATGTCCGTCCGTCTGTCCGTCTGTCCGGCTGTCCGTCTGTCCGTTTGTATGAACGCAAGGATCTCAGTACCTATAAGAGCTAGAGACTTGAAATTTTAGATGTAGGTGCTCCTATTGCCCGCGCAGATCGATTTTGTTTCCGATAATCGATAACTTACTCCGTTTCCAAGCAATCGATAAAAATCGATATCGATATCCTGTTTTTTGGGCAATTTTGGTAAATAATAAGAGCTAGAGTCACCAAACTTGACATATAGCTTCTAAAATAGAATATATATTTGCATTTGATGTTGGTAGAAGAGGGTTCAGGGTATCCCCTAGTCGGGAGCTCCCGACTAGAACCTCTTACTTGTTAATAAGCTTAAATGGGCTAAGTTTCGGTACAACAATTTTTAAGAAAATTAATTTTAGACGTGTTGTACACTTTTTGCAAAATGATGACCTCTTTAATGGTAAATTCATCGAATCGAACTTAATAAATCTAATACAAATTTGGCAATTCCATCCGCAACTTTGGTAAATTGGCGGAAGACGATTGTCTGAAAGTTTTTTGTTTACCATTCGATCTGCTTTAAAATTAGTTTCAAAGATATTTATGTAAATTAATTAGAAATTCTTAGCACATGCTAACCAAATGAAAGGTTAGAGCGAAGTTTAAGGGTTTGTACGATTGGCTTCAAACTTTAGCTTCCTTAAGGATGGATTTGAAATATAATTTCAAAAAGACATGGACATTTAAATAGAACTGGCAATTTAATTTTTTCACGGGAAGGAATCGTAAATAAAATTTTCTAAAGCTTTGGATGAATTCAACATCCATGCGAATCGCCTAGAGAAGCAATATTTAAAAAGTTTCTTTTTTTTTATTTTCAGCGGTATGTTTGCATTTGAGATAAGTGAATATTATATATATAATTATAATATAATATAATATATAATAATATAATATATATATATAATTATTAGAAATAAGTTATATTTCAGCTTAAGCGGAATGTTAACTTGGGTTGCATTTTATTTGAAGTTATGAAAATTCAATATTAAATGTACTTTTAAATATCGCCTTTATAGGCGATTCTCATGTATTTAAGTAAGTCATCTGTCTGACATGCTTTCATTATAAGTCGTGATGTGCTAATCAAACTTATCTCTTCTAATACTTTCACTGGTTCTCTCTCTACCTCTCATTTTATTCCTCGTTTATGGTCCTCCCCCTACTCTAACCCGCTTTATACCAATTTCATTTCTGGTAAGTACATATATAAAAGCATCCCCCTTATGCTAATGTAAATCAGCGAATGAATGTGATTGCACGAGAATTGTTGAGTAAGACCATATTTTCTTTTTTCTGTCTTTAATATATAAATAAGAAGAGATCAATGTAGATCTGCATATAGTTCATCTGTTAGTGTACTTACATAAATTGTTTTTATTTAACGATAATATGTGTTTGGCAAGTAATTTGGTAATCGGAAAATATTGTAGTTAAAATATTGTCAAATACAGAATCAGGATATATGCTAAGAAAGCAGAGAAAGTTCTCTGCTGTTGCTAGGCGAACAGAGAGAATGATTATTGGCTTAAATTCGGCACACTGAGCTAGAGCATAACGAGAACCAAACTGAACACTAGACAAACCAGGCGGGAATTCGTTGCGCTGCATTCGCGTGCCCCGCTGGTCAAGGGGTCGTCGGCGTCTGGCGTGCGGACATCTAGCAAGGCTACATACAATATTTCTTAAATTAAATTATCAAAAAGAATTTCGCTAGTTGGCATGCCTAGCCCGAACTAGCGAAAGACTTGCCCCGCCACGCCCCAGCTCTAGCTCCAGCTCCAGCTGCAGCAATGGTCCACACAGTTTGGGCCAAAACGAAAACCTGTCTTTCGCGAGGGGCAAAAGAAATTCCGAAAATTTTCCCACACTTCTTGCAACTGCGGCAGAAGAAGGCAGCACAGGCTGCACAGCTACTCATATTTGTTTATGGCCAGGTCGTTCTCTTTCTTTCTCTCTCTGCGTGTGTGTGTGATGTGTGTGATGTGTGTGTGTGTGTGTGTGTGTGTGTGCAATGAAGCACATGTTGCATTTGCCTCCGTCTGTTGCTGATGAGCTGCATTATATGGCTGGCAGCATATCGGCATCCATCCACGAGGCCGCGGCCAGTGTGGAGGCCAATGCCAAATGGGCATCCACTTGCTGCAGCTATTTACCTTTTGGTTCTGGCTGTTGCATTGCCCTCTTTGGGTTTTCACTTAAGTGTCTGTTTGTGTTATTGTTGTTGCCGTTGTTGACACCAATTCTATTTGCATACGCCCTTCCGTGCAGCGAACTGTGGCAAGGAACCGCGTCTGAGAACTGAGCAGAGAAATGAAATTGTGGAAATAAAAAAAAATATGCCGGTTATTTCTTTAGATGTTTTGCAACGTTTGACATCAATATATCCAGGGAATTGTTTAGTATTTTAAATTTTGATATTTAGCAAATTGTATAATAAACATAAAAGATAAGTTCCGTTCGCTTCATTTTATCTTAATTTTATGTACATAGTCCACAGTATGTAATCAATGTTTTATTATGCGTCTAAAATCCATGCAATTGCTTAATTACCTTTCTTGTTGTCAGATATTGTATCATTTCGACGTTAACAAAAGGCACGTATAAGTCTTTCTGAGTTTAATATATTCTCTCCGAGTTACTCTGTTTTATTACTTCATATACATATATTACTTGCCAAGAGCTATCTAATATATAAAGCACTTTAACATCAATTTGATATATTAATTACTTGAACCTTTCCCTTTATATTTTCCAGAAATTTCAACACTCAATAGTCATTTTATGCTAAGCATGTTACATATTCTAAGTAAACGTATTGCTTTCCAACACTTCTTATGTGAGTGTTAATGTTAAGAATTTCACATATCTACATGATAACATTTCATGTTACAAAAATAAATGGATAATATAAAAGTTTAGCAATGTGGAGTACCTAAACATTTCAAAATTTTAACTTAAAATTAAATAATTAAAGTGCATAAACATTTTTCAATAATATCTCTTTACACGATTTCAGTTTTACATTGATCTTTATCCTAATTCTTCCTTTACTTACTTTTATAGAGTTTCTGTTGATTGATATTTCATCATTTGTAACCATCATCATTAGCATCATTATCATCATCATCATTTGCGACAAATTGTAGAGACCTCGTTTAGCTACGCATAGTTTAGTTTATTACGTCGATTAGTTGCACTATAAGCAACACCTTTAACTGCCAACAAATTACAACTTTATCATGCCGCAAACGATGACGATGACGCTGACGATGACGATGACTGGAACATTGCTTGGCCGTGCCCATCCATTCTGCTCCCCATCCGCTAGACGTAAGCCGGCGAGCCTGAGAGCAGCTCGCATAATTAATGAAGTGCAGGAGTTGCAAAGGCAACGGCGGCGACACAAATGAAGCTATTGCCGGCTGGTTGACTGGATGGCTGGCTGGTTGGCTGGCTGGTTGGCTGGCTAGCCGGCTGGAGTAGCCCAGCTTCTGAGGCTCCGGCTCCAGCTCCGGCTACTCCATATTTATACAGAGCGAACACGTTAAATAAAAGATAAGCGGCTAAAGCGGCGAGTGTCACGCGCGCCATAATTGCCAGCGTTTGGAGGAGAGTGGGGTGCGGAGGTAGGTACGATTGGGTACCATCCTTTGGATGTCGCATCGTTTCGACAGTCTAATACAATAAACTAAAACTTGCACCAGTCTAATAAAACATTAGGATCGCATGCAATGAACCGCCGTAGCTTTCATCTCATGCGCAGCTCCTCGAGTCCTATGATATTTCTGAAATATTTCCTTTATAAAATTTAGCTATTTATAATATTAGGATTTTACAATAGTACTTACTACATATCTCTAATTCTTCTATTGCAGGAGTTGGTTGCAGGGGTTGGTAGCTAGTACCAATAACATTTTTTAAAAGTTGAAATCTACACTACAAAATCTTGATCACAACAAAAATCATCACATAAAAATTTGAGAATAAAACTACAGTAAAAATCGAATTAAACTCTGCATACATTGCATTTATGAAAATCACTTAGAGAGGCGATATTTGAGAGAGGAAGTGGATCGGGAGTTAGGAATAGTAAGTAATAGAGCGAGAGACAGAGAGAGAGAGAGTGAGAGAGAGAGAGTAATATATCAACAAAAATAATTATATTTAGTTGATGGAAACTTACAGCAAATGTCTATGAACTAATTGTAAAGTCCACAACATAATCCCAGCGAACATTTTCCAGGACAAGGGCATCCTATACGCTGCAAGTATATATTACAATATATTATTTTAGGAGTTTTGTATGCGTGCGCACGTCAACGCGTCGTTGATCCCAAATGCATTTGTCAATGTCGCCAACGTGTCGCTGGCTCTGGCACTGAATGAAAGTCCAAGTCCTCCTATTCCACAAACAAAAAAATTAAATGAAGAAAAAAAACTTTCGCCTGCGCTTGCAAGTTTGTCCATATTCATTGTTGCGCTGCGGGCAGCCGACGCAGTCGTCGGGTTCAGGGGTAAAATGGAGCTGGCCCACGGGCTACTCAGTAAAATGCGTGACGTGCAAGAGGCGTCTGACTTGGTTTTGCTGCCCTATTCATAGGACTGGCCATACATAATTCCAATTTGCAACATTTTTGTTATTTGCTGTGGCTGTATGGTTTTTTTTCTTTCCTGAACGGGGCTCACGTTCATGGCCCAAACAATAAATACGTTTTGGGCAGCCAGTTTAGTGGCAAATGAGTTATGACTGTTGCACTTGGTCCCGACACATTAACAAAGTTTGACGAATGGCGAACGCAAAAGTGGAGGTGACGATCGCTAAGTGAACACGAGGCCACAGTTCTCAGCGGCCACAGTCTGGCTAATTCAAGAGTCGACTTTCGTATTTGGGTTGGCATCTTTAGCTCAATCTGGCTGCTCTGCAATTATACTCGGACTCGACTCTGGCTCACACTCGTACTAGTTTGTTTGAATGCATCATGTGCATTACGCACTTGTCGCTCTAAGCTGATCCAGCTTTGCCATGCCTGATTGCCATCGCTGTGAGGCAGCTTCGTAATTAAAATGAAATCAGCATACGGCTTAATTTCGTCTTCAGTTTGAAACTCGAGCTCTCGGATTTTATATTTGGACTCGTCCGACTGCTTGTTGTTTGTCTAATGCGTAACATCGTTTGCCAACTCAGTGTTTCCCCCAAAAGCCCCTCATTCGGTTTGCCAGCCTCTTGCTCCAAATCTGTCCGTTCTCATAAATCTGTCTGGCATTTTGCATGCCAGTCATCAGCTGCTAACTTGCTTTGGATTAATTTAAATCCTTTTTGGAGATTTGCTCAGGAATTTCTCTAGCCAGCCTCTTATCCCACACAAACCGTTAGGACGTAACGCATTTTCATGCTAGTTATAAACAATTTTGAACAAATTTCCAATCTCTTTATACTAGTCATGCCCTATTTCGACATGCTGCTAAATGCTAAATCTTTATTGAGATTATAAACATGACCTACTATTTATATATTTAAATAATCGAAAATGTTACCCGATGTCGCCCGGGTTAAATAAAATAAATAAGAAAAACTTGAAAATGGTTATTGCAGTTGAACTGGTGACCTCTCGCTTGCTTGTCTGACGCTCGTCAAATTTTTGACTAAGTAATAATATAATCTTGTGTATATTTCATTAGCTGCCATTTGATACTCAAAATCATCATCATAATTAGAACCTTGCAAACGGAGCGCTTGCCTATTTGCCAAAACTCTGTTTGTCTCTTGCGGGCAAGTCCATAAGTATCTTGGTGGTGTGCCTTATTCTGTTGACAGTTGCCGTAATTGATAACATGGACTAAACTGTCATAAACTGTCGTAAACGATGTACAGGAATCATCTTGATCTAGATTGTCCAATACAGACGTCACATGGAGCAAGTAATTTACCAAAAATGCGTCCGAATGAACTTGTTGCATTCGCTGGCCGCTGGTGTCTGCTGTGACTATAAACAACGATCTGTTGATCTCTCGGTGCGAGAGAGGGGTTCATCTAAAGGCAGTTGGCCTCCTCCTCCAGCTACCGGTGTACGTGTAAGGCCAGCCCAAAACTAAACAAGATGCCCCCTGGGCGCTGACGTTGTCGAGTCCATTTCAAAAGACAGCGGCAGCTCTAGAGCTTTAGAGCGACCTGGGTATCATCGATCATCGATCATCTGGCGAGGTCTAAAAATGGCTTCCAGCTGCGTAGGAAAACACCATCGCATGACCAAATCGCAATCCGTATTCGATACTTTCTTCTGCTCGAGTTGTGATTGCGATTGCGATTGCGATGAGCGACAAGTTTTTGCGGCCGTTGCCGGCAGCTGTTTGTCTTCTTTTGGCACATTTATTAATATTATTATTATTGCTATTATTATTATTAATATTTAATATTGTTATTGTCGTTTGTCGTTAGCAATTTTTTCCTTTTTTTATTTATTATTTATGAGCTTAAGTTATGCCATTTGGGTGTTTTCAGAATTTAGTCATGACGGAGATACGTAAAGCTAGAGTCTTTCGAGCCGACCTATACATCCTTACACACATACATACATATAAGTAATGCCAATTAATGACCAAATTAGTGAGGCACTCATGGACAACACTTGACCGCTTATGGCACGGGATTTTCTACTGATTTGGTTCGAATTGTGATTTATTTGAGCGCAATGTGAAGGCTCGCTTTGATTTCTTTGTTAGTAGTGATCAGGCGGCGAAAGTCGTTGGGGCTCCACTAACCACTAACCACCAACCACCAACTATTAAGCAGCAACCACAAGCCACTAAACACACATAACCAGGAGAACCGAGTGAAATGCATATGGAAGGTGAGATGCACTCACAAAATCGAATGCCTTCAATGTCATCACCAGCCATATTCATAGTTCTGCGCTCAACATCAAAGCATTGCCTTTCATTTCATATCCCCCAGTAAAGGACACCAAATCAAGCTATCCCACATCTCAGTCTCTCAGGCACGTAGTAAAAGCTGACAGACCATACAAGGGCCCAACTATTGCTGTGAAATATGATGTGGACTAGCTGCTACCAATAAAGAGTAATTAGCGCCTAGTATTTGATATACCAAATTTGTGCACTCTCCATAAACTGTTAGCCACAATGTTAACCTTTGCTAGGTGATATATACTACGAATGGGCTATAATATAAGCATGGGAATTGCCAATTTAGTTGTTGGCTTACTTTTCTTGTGTTTTGAAACGTGTGGAGCATAAAGTGCAGAGCGCACTATATTTATGTATTTCAGAACATGTATAGCATGTACTTTTTTGTGTGGTTTTCATTATTCTGTTATTAACGCTATGTTAATGTAACATAACATACGATGTTATATGAATTGATATCAGTTACTTATTTTTAAATAAATCTTAAACAGTTGTTTTTCGAGGTTTTTTCAATTTTTCGGAATTAACAATTGAAATATTACAATTTTGAGTCACATTTGGTCGTTAACCAACCGTACAATAATCGTCAGGGTTGTCTTCCTACATAAGTTGATGGTTGGCGACATATATCCTTCTTTTCTCATAGAGCGTCTTTGATTCTCCGCTCCGTTCAGACCTACCAGAACTTATCGTTGCAATAGTTTCTTTTCACCGAAGTTTTTCTCTCACTAATAAAATTGTTGCTAGATAGAGGCGGATCTCAGGATTGTTAGATTTCAATTTTGCACGGGCATGTACTTAGTTGAAAGGTAAAACCTATAACCTTCCAAGGGCAAAGAAAGGCAATACACACTTGTACACACTTACAAAATTATATACAGTAAGCCCTTAATATGACCTCTTTCGGGCATAGTTCACTGATTTCATTGATTTCTTGAACTTAAATTTGTATAAAAGTGCATAAAGTAGTTTGTTAAGACATCGTATATTTTGTGGTATTTTATACGATTTTCAATTAATTTTTTACAATTTACTGCATCATTTGGGTTTTATAAGGATTTTGACTAATTATAAAGATTGGAAGGTAGTCCTAAAGGGGCCATTCGATTTAGGCACCGTCAAATTAGAATACATTCCGTTTAAATTGCTGAAAAAATACCAAATTTCATTCTTTTTTCCGCACATCTTCCGTACCACCAGATACCATCACAAAGTCTTGCGCAGTTGCCCTTACCCAAAATATCATTATCACGATCGTATGTACTGAACTTCATATTTCTGTAGTAACTCAACCAATCTGTTACATTGCTCTCACCTTGGCCCAAGGCGATTAGTTTGAATTGTTCGTCCTCGCCAGCGATGGCAAATTGTTCATATTTGTAGTATGTTATGAGTCCATTAAATTATTCCATATGTTTGTAGAGCTCATGAGTCTGGGCGTTCGTTAGTCCTAAGAAAAAGTCACCATAAAAGGCCACCAAATTCTTAACCGTATGTGGGCCAATTCCTACTAAAAGCCTCCTTACTATTGATGTGCTGTAAGATAACCGCTCAGCCAGGACCTGCTGACGCACTATCACATAGTACTTCGAACGAATCTTTTCGACCTGGGTTAATCGTAATAAAACACGGATCATCAGCAAAGTCGACGCAGTCCCTGGAAACGGGCTTCGCTTAGTAGCTTTTCAATATCTTGGCACAAATGTTCATTTTGTTTTTGTGTTCGGATATTTGCTGGGCCCGATTATTCAAGATTTTCAAGGAATCGGAATTGTGTTTACTTGTTCGTTGATTAGACATTGTTCGTGAACTCTCTTATTGTCTGTTTGTAGAAATCTAGCTGAGCTATCTGTTCCGCGATAAGAAATTCATTGCGCGCTTCCGGTTTTTCCTGCAGTTGCTTGATTTCTCTGTCGTTGGCTTACTTTTACTGCTATTGTTTTCTATTTCCTCCTTCACGTAATGTATATACCTTAATAATGGTCTCACAGCCTCACAGGTGTACACATTGATCCTCTGAATTTGATATTAAAATGCGAATCTCAACTGCACTCAGCACGTAAATTGAATAAAATACGGCAATCAATTGGAAGCTCGGGTATCCATGCCTTTGGTTTATTCACATTAAGTCTTTGACCTACTGATACTCGCTTAAAAGTTACCAAATAATAATTTAAAAGTTACCAAATAATAATAACCAAATAATAATTTGGTAACTTTTAAGCGATTATCAGTAGGTCCGAGACTCAATGTAAATAAACAAAAGGCATGGATCAAGCTTTAATTGAGCTTCATTGAACAGTTGTAAGATTGCAAATAGGAGCACTCACTGGCTTTGGCTCTCCTCATCATTTTCTAGAAAGTGTTATATAACATTTCTGGATTCTTCGATACATACAGAAATGCATCGTTGGTGCTTTAGAGAAAACTATTTTTAGAAGTGGGAAGGTCTAAAATAAACTTCGAACCGAACCGAAATTCTAAAACCGAACCATATATATTTATGTTCAGATTCTGCCTGTTAAATGTGTTTGCACAAAAGCAATATGCCAATTTTCAGGCTATAACGATAATATGAATTAGCTTAATCGGAAAAAAATAATATTGGACCGAATATGAAAGAAGCAGAAGATGGATCACCAAGTAAATAGATTTGTATTAGAAATTAAATTCATGTTTTTATGAAACGATTGCCCTCAGATTTAAGGGTACTTCACACTTTTTGAAAAAATAATTCCTCCTTGGTGGAAATTAGGGTCAAAATTTTGGTTGGTGTCGTTTCGCGCTCAATTTCTTTTTTTAAGGATCTATATAAAAAATCATTTGAGACGTGTTTCACATTTTTCGGAGAATCAAAGCTTTCTCTGTGGAAAGTGCGATTCAAAGACATTTTGGCGAAGCTGTAAGTTTTTCCCGATGTGCTCTACATAAGAACATAATGAGTACGTGTTTCAGCGATTTGGGAAATTCCACGCACGACAATGGTTAGTTAGCAAAATACGGTTGTGTGAAAGTTTTTTGCTTATCATCTGATCGAAATAAAAATCATTTTCAAAGATCTTTGTGAAAGTTTGAGTGATACGGCACATGCGGGTCAAAGGTTTAATCAACGAAAGTTTATTCTTCTAAAGTCATTAATTCCAAAACTTGGTTCTTTATTCGCTGCACTTAAAACATATTTTTAAAAAGAATTGGAGATAAATATGGGAAGGTTTAGCACAAATCGTTCCACGGTCAAGGCCGGCAAAGCCCGCTAGCTTGTTAATTAAATTGTTTAGTTCGTAGGGCAAAGTTCAATCAATTATTTATTTGACTTGACAAAACAGTGTATTAAAACTTAGTTGTGGCTCTTGTCGGTAGTTCTCGACTAGCTGATACCCTGTAGATCTTTTTGTGCTTTGGTATATTCATATTCTTACGAGGCTTAAATTGGGAACCCAATCTTCGGCTGTCATCCTAGTCCAGCGGGCTTCTTCTTCTTAATCATATTTCGTCAACAAACCGTAAGACAATCCTCTGTGTTGTCTTCCCATACAGGTTGATTGTCAGCGGCATAGATTCCTAACAGTATTTATTATTATAAAAGGGCTGCTTCAGGATACCGGGAACTCACGGGCTATTCCCAGCTATGAGTAGGGGCATAGCTTGTCGAACGGGCTATAAATTTCACCCACCGGTAAGTGTACTATATCTAGTACAAATTTCTTTATTATTTTAATTACACCTACCTTAAAATCTGTTAATGTCAAAATTATCTGTGAAAAGGGACTGGACGGGCAAATAAAACATTTCCATCGTGTCGGCGATGCTATAAGAAATATGCGCATTCTAAGGCTTTTAGCATTTAATTTTCATATTCTTATGTAATATAATTAGGTTCACACTCGTTTGATCGACCATTAATAAATAATAAATAAACAAATCAAAATTGTTTAGTGTTGCAAAGAGTGTTACTTTTAAATATTTAATGTAAGTTATGTATATAATATTATAACATTTTTTTGCCTAGTTTAGTTTGTTCCTTTACCTCTAATTTTTTCTGCCCCATGCTAGATTTTTCTATTGCCAAGGATCTTGCCATTTTGGCTTTCATAGAATCGTCTATCGCTCTATCTTGACTATGTTTTCTGATGCTGTACTTTTTCTTCTGGGGATCTACTCGCTTGTTTTCACGACTGACTTACAAATTGAAAAACAAATTACTGTCATAAATGTCAGCATTACAACCCGACGACAATCAATGCATCAACCTGTTGTCATCGCGCAAAACAATACACAACAAAAGCCACAACACAGCTCAACACAACACAATAAATTATGACAGTTTTGAGTGCATAAAGCAACAAAAAAAAAAATATGGAGAAAAAAAACAGCTGAGTTGACTCTTTCTACCATCACCCCTTCGCCACTCACTCTCTTGGCCACTTGGTCTGTTTGGTCTGCAATTATAAGCCATCAACTGGCGTCAGATTGAGCTGGATCGAATGGCCAACACATTCGAGCAATGCGAAAATGACAATAGCAAAAAAAATGAAAGAAAAAAACGCTGCAAATTCTGCAAATGGCTGAAAGGCAGCGAATGCATTTAATGAAATCAAGAACAGCACCAATCAAATTGTGGAACAAAGAAAAAACAGCGCTACAACTAAATGATTGCAAAAATCTAAATTGAATTTTGCCATAAATTGAATCAATGGCCCCGTCTTCGTCTCTTTGGACTCTTGCGGATCACTCGCAGCTAATCCAAACATGAAAAATGTCGGAATAACCAAGTGCCGCGGCAACTGTATAAATTCTAAGCTGAACACATCAAATATAAAAGGCAAAAAGCATCAAATAAATTAAACGAACCTGACATTGGGGGAACGCTGCAATATTCTTTATTCAGATACTCTGTAAACAAATGTTCTGTACTACAATGAAATGTACTATATCCGACTATACTGAAATACTTAACTTTTAAATACTTCAAGAAGTGGGAATTAAAATTATATTATTACTATTTTAACTAATTGATGTCATATTTGGTTAAACCTCTTAAAGGTTTTGTGACTAAAAGATTCCTTAATTTATTTTTCCTTGTAGACAATAAATACAAAATAAATTAGAGATTACTGTAGAAAATTTGACAATGATTAAAATGGCATTAGTCTTATTTTATTATCTGAATAGATCGTAATTTTAATTTGTTTATTATCAATGCTTTTAATAAATTAGAATACAGCTTGGATTTTTGATTATTGGATTAATGAAAATGATCAACATTAGACTTGCAAAAGCTATAGCTTTAAAATTTTCATAGGCCCAATTGACTTGAATAGCCAATATACTCTGGGCGACCCATTTCTTTCGATAAAGGGCATATAAAGCGTTGGGTGCTATTGTAACGGTGCGGCGTTGAGATTATCTAAGATACTAACCCTGAGATCTGATCCTAAACAGCCCACAGAGACGTAAATGGAGACAGAGATGGAGTTGGGCTGAAGCTGAAGCTGGAGCTGGAGACTATGTCAGTTGGCAGCTTGTGCAGCGTGGCAATCAATAACTTAAATTACAAAGTAATTGCACTGGCATTCACAGCACGCTGTAGCAGCTTCAGTTTCAGATCAAGGCACCAAGAGGAGCAGCACCTGAAGCAGCGCCTCCACGCGGTGGCGGCGGCCGGCAGGCATCTGTGTCCGTCTATCCATCTGTCTGGTTTTCTGTCCCCTGCTTGCCTGCCTGTCGTCACAAATGTTACACTTGATGGTAATGATGATGGACAGATTGGTACCAAAGTCACTCAAAAGCGTTGCCGTTGCCAGCTCTCAGATCGCAGATCTCAGATCTTTAGATCTCTCAGCTAAGCTGGGGCCGAGCCAATCCGGTAGCCGCTCTGTCAGTAAGTTGAAAATTGTTTTAAAATTGCTGTTACATGTCTGAATGCAAGCAGATTGAATTACAAGCTTACCGCTCGACTGCACCGTGCTTGCCGCCTAGCACCGCCCGTCTCTCGCCTGCTGCCTGTCTGCCTGGCCAAATGCTTTTTGCCAACTGGCAAATGGCTACTGGCAACTGGCGAAACTGCCAACGGTAGCGATTCCAGTCCAAAATTAAATATTGCTCATGTGCTCACAGCGCCCAAATATGATCGCGATTACAGGCTGAAAATCAGTCAGTGCAAATATGGTATAATCTAATTTTAAGTGTTGACACATTCGATTTGAACAGCCGATCGACCCGAAATGTAGTTGAGTTGAAAGCAAAACGTTTTGATAGTTCGATTTTCGACTCACCTAATAACTGAATCTTAATGCCAAGCAAACAGAAATACTAATAAAAAGAATATGATAAAAACAACAAGAGTGAAAATAAACATTGCTATGTTATTACTTATTATGTCAGTACATTACTAAGATCATATTCTAAGAAACATTAAACATGAAAATCGCATAGAAGGGCGATCTTTAGGATATATCGAGGTAGATAGAACAGGAGCGAGCGATGGAGAGCAGAACATAAGCTGTGGGGAAGAGAAAGAGAGAAAGAACGTAATGGAAAGTAAAATACAGGGGGAAGGGAGGCATCGTCAAAAATACAATTCTTTATACATTAAGCTAAAGAAAAAATTGAAAAATCTTGTGTTCCAAGCTGATATTGGCAGTAACAATAAGTTCATTGTAAATAAGTATTAGCTCCGGAAACTAATTAATAATTAACTTATATAATTTAATGTTTGAGAATTTCCCATTATTACCAAGCGGCCGACGATCCATTTTAAGAGGCTTTCTCGCTGTGAAGTTAGGGCAACAACTCTCCTTATTTGGCTAAGAGCGTTTCGCTCGTGAGCAAAGTTGAACTAAAGCATGATTGATGACACCTTAGAGCGCAACTGGAAATAGTATCAAGCGGTGTACAAGAAGTGAGAAATCAGCCACGTTTTGGAGCCTTGTTCTGTGAACTGATGGGCAAACTGGAGCTTACGATAATCCTGCAATGAGTAATGCTCGGCCACAAAGATGAGCTGCACAGTGTGAGCAATAATAAATTTCACTTGTAAGTGTAACAATTTGTATGTTAAACGCGCCCAGAAAGCGAAGCAACTGCCTCTGAGGACCCCAGGCGGCAACAGGAGGCGGCCGTGCCTATGAATTCAACCCGGCACCAGACGCTGCCTCGAGGGAGTCGTTTGCCAGCGGCTGTGACTGCAACTGCAACTGTGGCTGTGACTGCGGCTGTGGCTGTGGCGCATCGCAGTTGCGGCTACCAGGCGGCGCATATTGGCGGTTGCATTTGAAAAAGAATAGACAATTGTTTGCTGCCGCATAACAAGTTGCAAGGCAAAGGCGCTCGCTCGCACGCTATGCAAGAGTCGGTGGCGGGGGCAGAGGCGGTGTCGGTGGCGGTAAGAGTAGCAAAGGGGGTGGGGCTGGCGGAGCCACAGTCCGATTTCGACTCGAAGTCAGACTGAGACCAGGCATGGAGCAAACAATATAATAATGCCGAACGGAGCGGGCAAACGCAAACCGAACCGAACGAAAATAGATTTGTATCGAGAGGCGGCTTCTCTGAAGCGCGCCTTGCGATTTGCAAATATTTTGTCATTGTGTGGCGAGATTTATGGAGTGGAGGCAGCAGCAGCAGCAGCAGCAAAAGCAGCAGCAGCGACAGCAGGCAAAATGCTGCACACTCGTCGATTGTTTCCAGGAAAACTTTGGCCAGCAAATATACCGCTAGCCAGACTCTGACACAGACCTAGACACAGGCATGGGCACAAATACAGACTCAAGCAGCGCCGAGTGTCAGCGCATGACTATGTGACACAATTCTCACTCACCTGACAACCGCAGCAGGCTGCTGTTGTTGCTGCAGCTGCTCCTGGGCGCGGGGATGATGCGGGGGCAGCGTATTATATGCTCAGCATGTGCAGTCGGTATGTGTCACGGGGCCAGCACGCTCAGCATTCACCATAAGGCATCCAGCTAACAGCCTCACATCTACCGGCAACAACACAGTCACATTTCGAAGAAGATTTCAGCATGCCAAAACAAAAAACTACTTAACCAAATGAACGTTACCTTTTCGGATATTCAAATGTAATATCTACGCAAATTGAAGAAATGCTCTTCAAGAGAACCGCGCAATCTTTGAGTAAATTAAACCATGACTATAGAGTTAATGTTGTGCCCGTTTTCTTATTCTGTGAATAATATTTCGCAAATCTCCTTTTTATTATTGTATACAGCTTTCCCCTCTCTCCTTCTGACAACCTATAATTAGCAGATCTTTTCTCATTTTGGTTGGGTCTTATAAGTTTCTCATAAAGTGTGTTACGCACATGATCTCCGATTTTGTGGTGTCCATACTTAATGAGTGTCAACAGCCGAGTTGGTATAATCATGTCCAGAAACAAAATTCTTGTATAAAAACTTTTTTCATTATCAATAACTTGTACATTTGCTATCTATTAATTTTATTATCCCACTTTCAAGTATAATATAGAGATATGCAGAATGAGATCTAAATAAATTATTTTCTCAATATGTCTTGATATAATTCAGCAACTATGAACCTTACTAATCTGCTCACATATCGAGGGACACGTCTGATAGAGTAATACAAGAGTATTGAAGCTTCGGCTATAAAATGGAAGATACTTGACATATATATAATATTCTAGAAGCAACATATCATGTTTGGTGCCTATATCTAAAATTGCAAGTCTCTAGCTGTTATAGGTTTTGATATCCTTGCGATCATTAATACAGACGGACAGATGGACATGGCTAGATCGACTCGGCTATTGATGCTGATCAAGAATATATATACTTTATGGGGTCGGAGATGCTTCATTCTGCCTGTTACATACATTTGCATTTTGCACAAATACAATATACCCTTTTTACCCATTTTTAATGGGGTCAGGGTATAAAAATGAGAATATCTTTAAAATACACTTTTCAACACGCCATTCCTTCCTCTTAACATAAGTTTCCATGCTTATAGTTGTTTTTACCCACAACAGTAGCGAAACATTTGATTAACCAATCACAATCACAACAAGTAGCTGGAAAATAGCCGCAAGGCATTCACAATAATCGCATTGGCAGTCCGCGGAGCACTGTTTGCCTCCAATGAAGACAAATGACCAACATGCAAGCCATTACTTATCCACACTTTACACAAGTCTGTGTGTGTTTGTGTGTGTGGACTCAAGTTTGTCGCCTAAGTCATTCGTTTTGGCTCGTTACCACCAAGGTGTTGCGCTGAGTAATTGGTCAGCGAGCAATGAGATTTGATTAGCATGTAGATCATCATGCGATCGTCAAAATATATGTGATCCGCGCTGGCAGCATAATCGTCGCCATTTCAGGCTGCCCACCTGACAGACACCGAATAGATAAATTGTTTTTGGCGAAAGATTGTGTTTGTGCTGCCGCCGCTCAACGGGCGATCGCGGCGCGACATATGCTATACACTAGATGTATAGGTTATATGTCCCGGCTGCTCATGGCAACAATTTAGCGCTCCACGGCAGTTTGTCGCCATTAGCGTCGAAGTGAAATCAAATGCTCCATCGCTGGCAGCCAGCTGAAGGCTGCACGCTGCAAGCTGCAAGCTGTTTCAGTCCACAGTCTGATGTGGCCACAAATCTGATCGCCTGTGACGGCATTAGAAATACATACAATAGTATAAAAAGCAGACGCGGCCCCATACATTTGTGTCATTTGTATGCAAGAGTAACAAGCGAACGATCTGGCGATCGAGCGGCGTCCCAACAGATTAGCAGAAGAGCTCGCGACCAGGCCAAAGACCGCCCCAGAGTTTGAGATACCCAGACGGAGGCAGATAGACTTGGACAGCGCCAGATTCATGAGCACACACACACAATGAATGGCTGTCGGGGCTGCCGGGGTCTGTCGGGGTCTGCCGATCAGATCGATGCCAGAGCTCCATCGATTTAATTACAACAAACGCGTCAGCAAATTGCCTGACGCGAACATTTGCACACTTTGAAAGCAAAGCAAACAGCAAAATCACAAAATCGCTGCTGTGCTGCCCCTGGGTAGCCTGGTAGACACTGCTTACACACTTCACTCCACTCCACTACACTCCACTCTATCCATGTACATGTACATGTACAAGTACAGGACCAGGTCCCAAGTCCAGTGCAAGTCCATCGTGTGTACCTTGAGCGCCATCGAGCTAACAGCAAGTGGCGGTGAAATCGCTTTGATCTAAACTCAAATCTTTGTTTTGTTGACTGTTTTTCCAGCTGCGCTTTTGGCATTGCCCTCTTCTTGTTATTGTTGCCCGCTGTTCCGAGTGGACCTGCCTCTGAATTTCAGACCAGCCTTTGCCCAGCCAGCCGGCCCCCCCATCGTCCCGTGGCCAACCTCAGCATTAAATGCCACCAGGTTCACTTGCTGTGATTGCAATTGAATTACATACGCTGTGTACTTGTATTGGATGAATGACATTGACGGCATTGCTGGTGTGTGTGTGTGTGTGTGTGTGTGTGCATGTCTGTGTATTGGATTTGGCATCAATACGTTTTCAAGGTGTGAAAGGTGTTTAGTATGGACTAATTGTTGGATTAAAGTGACGAATACAAAGTAGAATTGTCTATGCACAATTAATCTGTAACATGAAAGCCCTCAGTTTAATATATGAACTTGTTTATCATTTAGTATAAACGAGTATATAAGATTCTATGAGTCCAATATATTATATATATATATCAAAAGAGAAAGAAGAAATACAGACATGGGCACAAATTTAGATAGAAATAAAATTAAATATGTTGTAGAAAACCAGATAAATAAAGTTGCGAAAAATATTATTGATATAGATACGTACTAAAATTCCGCTTTAGATAAACATAAAATGCGAATTATATGCAGATACGGAGTTTAGGGTTGTGTAAATGGATATTGTTATAGATAAATATAAAAGTAACAATACTAATACAGCTGAAGTTGCACCAGAAGAAAAAGATGCAGATACAAACACCGATACATATAATCATACAGCGGTAGATACAGATCCAAATTTAGATAAAGATACCGAAACATATAAAGATACAAATCGAATACAGATAAAGGTAAGATATAGAGACAGCTACAGAGACATATAAGTATACATATATAAATACAGACACCAGTTTTAATTTTAATAATTGTTAAAGATACATATTAGATCTTCAATAAATATTTCTTTCAATTTAACCCGCAGCAAAGTTTGTCTAAATATCTTTAAAGTAAAATTGGCACT